TGTGACGAGAATAATTCACCGTCATTATTCTTTCATTTCATCACAATTGCAATGTTTGAAGACGCCCTGGCGTTGCTTGTCTAAAAGCACGATCACGTGAATTCATCTGCTCTGACTCTACGTCTATTACTTTTACACAATGCAGTTTGTTTAATTTCTAGCACTCACTCTGCACCCTAAATTTTATCAAGTCGAAACAAAAGAATCAATTTTGCGATCTATGAAAGCATTAAATTAATGTTTTTGAGCATTGCTTCATATTATTTGATGGATGCTATGAAAGTCTAAGATATCAAATCTAAAGCTCTCGAATTGACCCTAGTGCTGCAAACGGGAACAAATGTGCTCTAACCATCATAAAGCTGTAACGAATATTTGAGGCAGCGTATACATATACCACAAAGAGAAAGAGAGAGAGAGAAAGCCAGCAAGTCATGCCCAAGGTAACTTTCTTTGCCCTAGTGATTGCGAATTTCATACGATGTCTATTCAATTTCAATATATACGACAGTATTGTGCCAAGTAATACAATATAAGGAGCTTTAAAATGAAGCATATGCGCAATTACCACTAAATGCGTCTTCATTGGCATAATCGTTCAGAATATTGTTATGGCTTATTAGAGCAACTGCACCTAATTTTTGTCTTAGTATTTGTCTTTACATGGCCCGATGGTTCACCTTGATTTTCAGAAAGTTGTGATGTAAAAACTGTAATCCATTGAAGTACGAAAAAGTAAAACAGGTATGTTAGCCAGAATAGTGTGGTTTGCTACTCTACGCCTAATGTAAAGCAGAGGGGCTGTAAACGTGCCAAAATAGGACATATTGAACAGTTCACACGTACAGTAAGATTTAAATCACTGATTGAGTATGAAAAGTTCTAGTGAACGTTGATTTGGCTTATTGCAACCTCAAAAGAAGTATCGTATTCAAAATAACCCCTTCACAGGTTTTTGACAGTTTCGTGAGACCCACGTGTACCGAATATTGGTACACTCGTCATTCGAACATTTCAAGAATACTTTTTCTCTAAGAGGAAATCGCACTCGCATCACCAGGCCCATGACTTGCAACATTGTTGTTTTGGGGTTTCTTACCAACTTATGGTAGTGAGTCATCACTGAAGTTTGTTTGCACTATTCCACGAATGTTTCCAAGACCATAGGAGTTCTCACATAATCTTGCATAATTTTACTTTTGGGTTTTGAGGAATCCATCTATATGCAAAGCAAGTTGAAGCATACTCACCATAACGTTAGGAACATGCCTACAAACTGAACGGATTGCTAGTGCATGAATGTGAGTTCAGTTATTTTCAGCCCTATATAATTATATAGATAACATGGATATAATTACAACCGCAACTGATACTCAGTGCTTCTTCTTGCAGCATTGCGTTATTGCTATTTTGGTCGCGTTGCCTTCTGGTCCTAGTTGTGTTTTCTATTTTTCTGTGCAGCCTATGTTGTGCAAAGTTCCCCTGGTTTGGTTCAACTTGTACAAACAAGCCCAAAAGAGCTCTTCACTGCAATCTTTATTTGTTACATTTCGTACCGTCAAACAACCACGCACCGGTACTGCGCCTTGAAAATATGACTGTAGATTTCTAGTACTTATGATTAGCGTATCTCATGTTGCATATATAGACATGCAATTAATGTGGGAGACGTTCATTTAATATATTTATTTCATTTTAACTGATAAAGTGGGATATGTATGATGCAGCTGCTATTTCAAACAATAAATGTGAGCTGGTGCACGCTGGGGGAGGAAGACGATGAAGAAATGGCAGGAAAGTCAACCAGCTGCGTGTTTTGTTCACTATACCATGCTGGGGAAAGGCGATTAAGGGAATAAAAGATAGAAGTAAATAAACAAAAAATCATCTGAGGTTAAACGACACTGCTGCGTTCCATGTACGTCGAAACGAAGAATAGTTTATCTTTATCTAGACAGCTTAATATATAGTACTGAATGCAGGATCTCAGGCGTACCATGTTCAATTGTAGATATGGTAACATGCCTGGCCTCATTGCTAATGACAGTATTAGTGGGATCATCGTGTCTACTGAAGGCTTGCATGTACTGGACAAAGAACATCCAGTACCAGCTGTACAGACTCAGTATGCGGTGATTTGAACTTGCCGATGAATGCACGAAGTGTGTGCAAAGCGTTATAATGAATGGTTTGTCTTCTTTGCACAACTTTTCAGTGAGATGTTAAATGTCCAACGCTGCCTATGTGCACTGAGAATGTGCATGTTGCTTTAAGACTTCGGCAACACAGGCCCAACTGCCGCAGCCGTTCCCATGCCTTCGTTCGTGGACCTGTTTCTACCAGCCACTGTCGATCCGTGTAGATGCACCTTCGACAATTTAAGCCAAGCAGAAGCCACAGCAACCGAACATTTTAATGCATTCTGCTTCGTACTTACCGCCGTACCTACATCGTACCGCCAATTTGTGCCGCTGCATGCTTCGCGCCGCTGTATTCTGCATCGCACCAGTATGAGTGACGATGAAGCGGTTAAGCAGGGCGCTGAAAAGGCGCCACAAACGTAGAAGCATTGACGTGGAGGCATTGGTAGAGGCATTTGATTAACTACGGTGCCAATGGCGCCACTACCTGATGATTCCGGCAGCCATTTTATAGACCATGCTAGGATTCTCAAATTAGCCAATCGCGTGGAACTTCGGTATATGAAGCAGTAATTTAGGTATGTGGTATCATTATTACACAAAAGGTGGAGTGATTTCAAGCTTAATTTGAGCATTATTTGTCAATTTCAGACCAAGTGCTGCGCTCTAATATTTGGCCCGCGTGTTCTCCGGAGCCTCGACTACCGGCCAGCAGCATTTTCTAACCATGCTCAAGAAGTGTTGCAGGGCCCCTTAAGGCCAAAGCCTTTGATATGTCCCCCAAAACTAAAATTGGCCGTTGGTGACGTCGTCGTTTTGTGGCATAGTCGTCAACACGACTTATGCGAAAAATCATTGAGACGTGATAACGCCAGCCCCAACACGACGACATAGGCCGCCAAAATGTCTGACGTCATCATGAAGTCACATCGTGCGATGTCTCATGACGACGTCATCACATGACATAGTCGCATGCTTAAAGGTGGCCCCATGGCCAAAGCAGAGAGGTAGAGAGAAGCCAGGTGTGGTGCAGTAAGCTTCGAAAAGTGGCGGAGCAGAAAAAAATTACATCCATTGGGATGAAAAGAACATGGCGTTGGCTTTCGCCTTCCAGAGGAGTGCAACAAAGACCTTATGAGTATGTACAGTTTGTTAGTTCATTGGTAGGTTAATTATTACGTTAATTTGATTTTTAGTTTGCTAGGTAGTTAGTAATTTTGTTATTTGGTTAGCTTTTAGTCAGTTTGTTTCTCTGTTAGCTAGTTAGTTCATTTGTTTGTTTCTTTGTTTTTTGTTTGGTTGGTTTGTTAGTTTTGTGACTTTGTTAGATTGTTTAGTCAGTTAGTTACTTAGCTAATTAGTTAGTTGGTTAGTTAGGCAGTTTGTTCATTTGTTTGTCAGTTCGTAAGATAGTTTGTTTAATTGCTAGCTAGTTAGCTGTTAAATTGTTTGTTATTTGGTTAGTTAGTGACTCGGTTAGTTAGTGTGTCTGCTAGTTAGTTAGTTAGTTAGTTAGTTAGCTAGCTAGCTAGTTAGTTAGTTAGTTAGTTAGTTAGTTAGTTAGTTAGTTAGTTAGTTAGTTAGTTAGTTAGTTAGTTAGTTAGTTAGTTAGTTAGTTAGTTAGTTAGTTAGTTAGTTAGTTAGTTAGTTAGTTAGTTAGTTAGTTAGTTAGTTAGTTAGTTAGTTAGTTGTCAGTTTCTTCGTTTCTTTTGTTAGCCAGTTAGTTCTAGAGAGAGAGAGAGAGAGAGAAAGGAAAGGCCGGGAGGTTAACCAGATATTGGCATCTGGTTCGCTACCCAGCGCTGGGGCGGGGAAATAGGGACAAGAAAGAGGGGGTAGATAGAGAGGACAAAAAAAAACACACGCGCACTCATGTGAAAACGAAAACACACACAGGAAGGGCGTCCTAGCTACAACCGTTCAATAAGGCCAGTCGATCGCAAAAAGTGTAGTAGCGCTTTCAGGGCCTTCTTCTGTGAAGTTGCATCTTGTCGATATTGTAGAATTCCTTGCTCCGACAGAGGTTGATTATCTAATTTGCTGAGTTCCTTGCGAAGGCATAGTCGTTGTTTACTGTACACTAGGCAGTCACAAAGAATATGTTGGGTCGTTTCTTCTTTGCCACAGTGGCCAGTTAGTTCTGAGTTTGTTTCCTTGTTTGTAGGCTAATTAGTAAGTTTGTTTTTGTTATTTTGTTTGTTTATTAGTTTGTTAGCATGTTATTAGTTTGTTTTTCAGTTAGTTAGTTAGTTAGTTAGTTAGTTAGTTAGTTAGTTAGTTAGTTAGTTAGTTAGTTAGTTAGTTAGTTAGTTAGTTAGTTAGTTAGTTAGTTAGTTAGTTAGTTAGTTAGTTAGTTAGTTAGTTAGTTAGTTATGCTTCATGGACATTCAGACAAATGGGAGTGGTATGAAAACATTAAAACGAACTTATAATTGCTTATGTGTGTTACAATGATTCTAACTTTGATAATTGATATCAAGAGGTAGAACACAGTGATATGTTACAAGAGAAACAAACAGCAATAAAAAAATAAGTGTGTTGTGTGCTCAATTCTCATTGCTTCGAACACGCTCTCGCTAGAAGTCATTGCAAGTGTGTGGAGAAAAAACAACGTGCAATATCCTTAAAAAAAGCAACCGTGACAAACAACCATCTAGCAATGTTAATTCACTTTCCTCTTGATTCATGGGTTGAAGCGAGCAGGTATTTCAAAAGCCAGAATCGGCTGCACCAGCTGTAGAGCATCCGCTTGTCAGAGCATGCAAACAATCCAGGTGGGCAAATGCGTATATGCTGCACAGTTCGCTTGCTGCAAATCATATCTCGATATAATTCATGAGTGCGATAAGGAGAGCGCTAGTAACTGCCAAAAACGTAACAATATCCTGCACTACCAGCGTGCTAGCGAACTAAGGAGTCACAGGCTCAATCGAACAAAGTAAGGCTTGATTTTTTTGTTTCGTCGGTGTGCAGTTGAATGTATTTTTTTTTTCACATTAAGCATGCATCGTAAAAGGAAACCTGGGTAGAAAACTAACTGAGGATATTGTATTTTATATTCGTGTGCACATAAAGTAAAATGTTTCCCTCATTCGAAAATCCAATCATATAATTTGATTCAATAACGTTGTAAGTTGGACGAGTATGTGATAATTCATGTTTATTTGTGGAGAAACGCAAGGCACAAAAGAAACGACATTTTCCTTCCAGCTAAATGCCACGTCACCCGCTGGGCAAACCAAGCCTTGTTCATTTCGTTCATTTTGTGCCTTGTCTAAGTGCGCTGCTTCGCTAGTGAGTGTGATATAATCTGAGCTGCGCTTAAATATTTATATTTCTTTTAACATTAACGCTACCAAAGAAACTGAGAGAAAATTACCCGTAACTATTCAATTACAACCAACAATTAAGTGTGTATTTTTTTAACTTGCTCCTCAGATGGCCACTATAGTAAAGAGCCCGTTCGGTGATCGTGCTCTAGACGTTCGGGAGAATTTCGGCGGCTACATCCTGAACCACCTGCGCCTAAATTCAAATTCTAGATTGGTGAGTATCGCTCTGCACCAAGTTACTAAAATAAAATGCCAATTTGAGATATCACCTTTTTCTAGCAGTGCGCAATCACACAAGTTGTGCCGTCCCAGCAAGTGGCGGTTTTCATATCCAGAAGCGACGATATTCGCGCGGAAAGAAATAAATAAACGGCCGAAACCACCGATTGCTGTCAACAGTGAATTCAACAATATCAAAAACTAAATCGCTTAGTAAAGAGATGGAGTACTTGAAAGTGTATCTTTGTTGCGTTAACGACATTCAATGCAGTGTTGCTGAACACTGTCAGAAAGCTATTCATTCACTTTATGAATAGGTAATGCTTTGACAGAGAATGCATGTTCCAGTGAGAATTTATCAAGCAGTGTCTGCTGTTCCGCTGGAAAAACATTTTTCGAGTACTTCGCAATGGCCACTTGCAACACGACGGCCAAAAAAAGTGAAAGCGAATAGTTTTCAATAAGCCTGATGCTACAAGGTGTCAGTATGCCTTCAAGCATGTCGTCACAAGGAAATGAACACGAAAAACGCGACACTGTGAGTTTGTGTACAACCTCTCCGTTAGGTGCCTTGAAGTTATTTTGGAGAAAAACTCCAGCAATAAATTCATGCTCCTCGTGGAATGCAATCAATTATTGTCTGTGTCTCTCTTCCCGCAATGTACAGCAATGTTTGAACCACCGGGACACTTAGTTTTACTATTCCTTACAATCACATGCATTGTGAAAACGCAAATAATTGGCCCTTTTTTTCAAGGCCATACATTTTCGTAGCGCTCTTACATTACTCGTTAATGTTTCACGTGCTTAATTTCTTTCAAGCAATCGAAGATGAGTGGGCTTGTCAGTAAAGTTGCATCTTTTGTGAAGAACGCAAGGCTTTGCAATGTTGCCAAGGCACTTACCGCGTGTGCGTGCGTGCGTGCGTGCGTGCGTGCGTGTGTGTGTGTGTGTGTGTGTGTGTGTGTGTGTGTGTGTGTGTGTGTGTGTGTGTGTGTGTGTGTGTGTGTGTGTGTGTGTGTGTGTGTGTGTGTGTGTGCGTGTGCGTGTGCGTGTGTGTGTGTGTGTGTGAAGTTGGGAGGGGGTGCAAGCGCAATCATTTTAATGAAGCGTTCATCGTACACTTCTACTGTCAACACACCGATAGACCTCACCTTGTCTAACAACTCTAATATAGTGATACGCTTAGAGTAGCCATCAGTTGAAATGTCCTTTTCTAATGATTTTTGCGTAACATGGACAAACCCTGTTGATGCAGCAATGCGCAAGCAGACATGTACCAATGATTGTATGCAGTGCATAATAAAACAGAGAGAGCTCTCCTATAGGACACATTTGACAGTGTACTTGTATTTATTTCAGGCCTCGCACTCCCACGAGTGCTATAAACAAAAACGAAAGGACAAAAATAGTACGAGAGTACAGCTTTATGTAACCCCTTAATTTTTCTTTTTCCCAGATAAATGCCACGTCACACGCCGAGCAAACGTACGGCGAACTGGCCAGTCAGGTGGAAGCCGTCCACGCTGCCTTGAGAAGCCTCGGAGTCTGCGCCGGTGACAAACTGTGCCTCATCACTCCGAATCGCTTTGAGCTCCTGCAGATTTTTTTTGGCGCCGCTTGTGCCAATGTGGCTGTCGCCTACGAGTACCCGGGATACTCTGTCGGTATATCACTCGAACTCCGATAAACAGTAGACAGTTTCAAAGAAAGGTCTGTTATTAGGTAGTTTACGAGCCCAACCCTCCAGTAGCAAAACAGTGCAAGCTCTGCGGATTGGCTGAAGCGTTTCCGCTTCTCAGATATGTAGGGCTTTAAAAAAGAGCTACGGCAAAAATATGATCAATAAACGCGGGACAGCAAAGCTGTCGCAAATATACGCAGTTATACCCGAAAGGTGTAATTTCAGTGTGCAGCTTTCAGTGTACAGCTACAAAACAGATGTCACTTGCTCAACTGCAAGAATACGAAAACTAAGGCAAATAAATCTATGTGATAACCTGTAACTTACCTTGCAATTTTCCCAGGGGAGCATCAAACCGTACCTCCGAAAAACGGGCATGATAGGGTCACGAATACGTGATGCAAGGGTCGGCCCAATTTGGCCCCCGACATGGCGTCAAATCAACCGTCCCTCTCCCCTGGTCACTTCCTGTCTGAAGGACGGCATGGCAGTATTGACCTCAAATGAGGTTACACAGAAATAAAGCAACATCGCTTCGAGTTGGCATTTTCCTCCGTCGTCACAATTAGCCGAATAACGTCTTCCGACTGCTGTAAATTATAGCTAATAAATATAATTCACAAGAGTTGGCAATATAGGTAACGCCTATTATTGTCTGTTTATAATTATTTATATATATATTCATTACAAAGTACGGTTATTGTCGATTCGCCAAACTTTGTCATCTCTTGCTTCTATAGTCAAGTCACCCTTTCTCTCCTCTCGGAGGCGCCGCCCGGCCCCCGCCGTGATGCCTCAGCGGCCTACACCAAAATGTTGCCGGGCGCTGATGTAAAGCATGCAGCAATACGTATGCGGACGTTGTCTTTACGTACCGATAATGAATCTTTCTCCTTCACAGGTGTCCTCATCGAGTTGATGAAAGACATCAAGTTCACTGTTATTTGTTGCGAACTAAGCGACATGGACTCAGCACTTGAATTGAAGACGAGGCAGCCAAGCATAAACGTAAGTGCCAGCCCTTATTTTTATAGGACTGAAATTTATTTCGTGTCAATACGCCATACTGCTTTTCTCGTATTTTATAAGGGGATTCGCTGCTGCTTTGAACTGAAACAAATTGGAATGACGACTGTGAAAAGAAAGAAATCCCGCAGGGGCGCCTGTGCAAGTAGGCGTTTGGTGTGTAACGACACCACGGACCCGAGCTAACGGGGGAGTTTTGACTCTCTCCCACGCCTAGCTGTGCGTGGCTTTGCCGTGTCCGGGGAAAAGGGGATCCTGGGGGTTGAGCCAATGCTGGGTGATTGGACCTTTAAGGCCCCCCGGCAGAGGCAACACACCCCTTTGGCCCCGGCTTCACGTAGACGGCACCCCTGGGCTGACCCACCCAGGGGAAATCGGCAGTCGCCGTTTCCTATCTCTCTCTTCCTACATCTTCGTCTTTATCTCTCACTTTTTATCTGTCCTGTCATCTTCTCTTTTCCGTTTACTTCCTAATTTCCTGGCGGCGAGGGTTAACCCTGTGTAGTTACCCAACCTTGGGTAGTTATATTCGGTTATAGCGGCGATGCATGGCTGGCGTCTCCAAGTGTTCACTAGTCAACCTTGTAGCGTCCCTTTGTTGGGCTCGATGGTGGGTGGCCACCATCGCCGCCGAGCTTTATATTATTTTTATGGCAAAAGCTCCCCCCCCCCCCCCTTCCTGATCGCTCCCTAAAAAGGTGGCGCACCGAAGATACTTTCCTGCCTAACACACCAAAGCCGACATTCCCAAAGTACCATGTAATCCACAGTCAAAACGAAAAGAAGACAGTCCGAGCCATTTCACCTTTACTCGTTTCCAAAACTCTCACAGAAGCAATAGGCCTCAGGTTATAAAGTGACAAAGATGGGAAGTGGCGATCTTCTTCTGGAGGTTCGCGACAAAGCTCAGTATGAAAAGCTGTCTAAGCTTGTAGCCTTTGGGGAAACCCCTGTTTCCGTGGGCCCACACAGGTCCATGAACACTGTCCGTGGCGTAATTTCTGATGATGATCTTACTGAGCTTTCTGAAAGTGAGCTGCTCGAAGGTTGGCAGGACCAGAACGTGGTCAAAGTCCAACGAATACCAATAAGGCGCAACAACAAACTGACCCCTACAAAACACGTAATAATTACCTTCGGAACAAGTGACCTACCAGAATCAATCGAAACCGGCTATGGTAAGCTTCGTGTAAGACCATACGTTCCCAACTCTCGTCGATGTTTCAAGTGCCAACGTTTCGGTCATGGATCGCAGAGTTGCAGAGGGCGTGCCACTTGCGCAAAGTGCGCATCCATTCAACACATATCGGACAACTGCCCCTCAGAAACAACTCATTGTTCGAACTGTGAAGGAGATCACACTGCCTACTCACGATCATGCCCCGCATGGAAAAAAGAGAAACAAATAGTAGAACTTAAGGTTAAATTCAATCTCACATTCCAAGAAGCACGCCAACGTTTCGCAATACACAACCCATCTTATCCCTCCTTTGCAGATGTGACGCGCCGGGGCGCCGCGCCATATGCCTCGGCACCCGCGAATGTCACACAGTGTGTGACCGCGGTCGTGCCGCCAGCGCCCCCGGCTCGAGCAGCCTGTACTGCTCCGCCACCTGACAAACAGGGCCGGCAGACCTCAGTGTCTGCTGAACCTCGGACCACTGCAGGCGCAGTTAGGTCCGAAAGTTCAGTGAATGTGCCTGGCCAACAGGCACCATCCACCACCTCACAAGAGGTGATGGATACAAGTCCCACTCCTCCGGCCCCTCAGACGCCGAAGGATAGGCGAAACTCCTTGGAGCGCGCCAAAAAAGAAAAACCACGAATCACAGGGCCCTCAAAAGGCCCTGTAAACTAACGCAACACCTCTGTACACACAGCACCACACTACATTAAAATGACACAAATACTACAGTGGAACGTCAGAGGACTGTTGAGAAACCTTGACGATATCCATGAACTTTTACACAAACATACACTGAAGGTGCTGTGCGTACAAGAGACACTCCTGAAACCTAAACACACCAACTTTTTAGGTCACTACGTTATCTTTCGGAAAGACCGGAATGATGCCATTGTGCCATCCGGTGGTGTTGCCATTATAGTCAATCAAGGGATTGCATGCACACACCTACCACTACAAACATTCCTTGGGGCGGTGGCTGTTCGAGCAGTTCTTTTGAATAAGCTCGTCACCATCTACTCTCTCTACATACCTCCACAACACCATCTTGAAAAGCATGAATTCGAGTCCCTCATAGAGGAACTTCCAGAACCTTATTTTCTCCTGGGAGATTTCAATGCACATAGCAATCTATGGAGTGACTCTCGCTGCGATGCTCGAGGTCGCCTGATTAAACAGCTCCTTTTTTCTTCCGGTGCATGCCTGCTGAATCGGAAAGAGCCAACATATTACAACATCGCTAACAGTACGTACTCAGCAATAGACCTCAGCATAATATCCCCATCACTCCTGCCTCTACTTAAATGGGAAGTCATTAATGATCAATATGGTAGTGACCATTTTCCTATCGTTATCAGCACATCAATAACAAATACATGTCCTGCACAAGTTCCCAAATGGCTCACTGACAAAGCCGATTGGGAAAAGTTTCAAAAAATGACTTTATTATCTTGGACTGACATGGCGGCATTGAGCATAGAGGATGCTGTATCCTACTTTACAGCTTTCTTGGTTGATGCGGCAACAAAATGTATTCCCCAAACATGTGGACCGTCAAGCAAACGACGAGTCCCATGGTGGCACAATGAGTGTCGTGATGCTCGAAAAAAACAAAATAAGGCATGGAGGTTGCTTAGAGACTCGCCCACAGCCGAGAATCTTGTAAACTTTAAGAACGTCAAGTCGCAAGCAAGGAGGACGCGCCTACAGGCGAGAAGAGAAAGTTGGCACAAATTTGTATCGGGCATTAACTCATACACAGATGAGTCGACAGTCTGGAGCATGGTTGGTAAAGTGGCAGGACGAGGAGCACATTCACTTCCTCTAGTGAACACACAAGGGGAGAGTTTGGAAGACCAGGCAAACACTCTCGCAGCGCACTTTGAACAGGTCTCCAGCTCAACTCACTATAGTGAAGCGTTCCGACGATACAAAACCGCAATAGAAAAACAGAGATTAGAGAGCAAGCCCACAACACATGAGGCATACAACGAACCTTTCTGTTTGGCTGAACTGCAGTCCTCACTTGCCTGCTGCAATAAATCTGCCCCAGGCCCAGACCGTGTGGCATATGAAATGTTAAAACACCTGCCCACTGAAACCCAGAAAGCTCTCCTCTCTCTGTATAATGCGATATGGTCTTCTGGCGAGCTACCCTCAGCCTGGAAGAAAGCTATCATTATCCCAATTCTAAAACAAGGCAGGGACCCGGCCTCAGTTTCCAGCTACAGGCCAATAGCATTAACCAGCTGTATTTGCTAAGTCTTTGAAAAAATGATTAACCGGCGCCTGATGCACTTCCTTGAAATTAGTGGCCTACTTGACCCATACCAGTGTGGGTTTCGAGAGGCTCGGTCCACCACTGACCACCTTGTCCGTATCGAAGCACAAATTCGCGACGCTTTTGTTCATAAGCAATTTTTTCTTTCTGTGTTCCTCGATATGGAAAAGGCATATGACACTGCATGGCGCTTCGGCATATTGCGAGACCTGTCACATTTAGGTGTACGGGGTAGAATGCTGACAGTTATCGAAAGCTACCTGTCGAACCGTACATTCCGTGTCCAAGTTGGCACTGTCTTATCTCGTGTATTTGTCCAAGAAACAGGAGTGCCACAAGGAGGTGTATTGAGATGCACACTTTTCATAGTTAAAATGAATTCCTTGCACCTGTCTCTCCCACGAAATATTTTTTACTGCACATATGTCGATGATGTGCAAATTGGTTACAAATCGTGCAACATCTCAATGTGCCAACGTCAAGTTCAACTAGGTTCAACTAGAGTTGAACAAGGTATCTCAATGGGCAAACGAGAATGGTTTTATACTCAACGCGCAAAAGAGCACTTGTGTCTTGTTCAGCCGAAAGAGGGGCCTCCATCCTGATCCCGACATTAACCTGCATGGTCAACCTCTGTCAGTGAAGACCGAGCACAAGTTTCTTGGTCTCATATTAGACACTAAGCTAACCTTCATCCCACACATCAAGTATTTAAGGGACAGGTGCTTAAAAACAATGAACAATTTGAAAGTGTTGTCACACTACATGGGGTAGTGACAGGAAATGTTTAATTAACTTATATAAAAGCCTCGTACGCACACGCCTAGATTACGTTGCTATAATATATCAGTCGGCAACACCATCCGCCTTGAAAATTCTCGACCCTGTCCGCCATCTAGCCATTCGCCTCTCTACGGGTGCTTTCCGCACCAGCCCTGTGGAGAGCCTGTACGTGGATTCGAATGAATGGTCGCTCCACCTACAAAGATGTTCCCTGTACTTTTTGTACTTTTTGAAGGTGAAGGCAGACAAGAAACATCCTTCCCATTTCACAAAAAATGATTTGTCTTGTTCTGGCTTGTTCGAGAACCGTCCTTCGTTTAGGCAGCCCTACGCGCTGCGTGTAAGGAGCCTGGCCGAAGAAACAGGTGTGCCTCTTCTTGAACCCAGTTTGATGGCTCCTGCAACATATCTGCCATCGTGGCAGTGGCAGCTTATAGACTGTGATGTCTCTTTTGTTGATGTCACAAAGCACGCACCACTTGCACACGTACATACATACCTCCTAGAACTACAACATAAATACATATGCCCTGAGTTCTTTACCGATGCGTCAAAGTCAAACACTTCTGTGTCATATGCAGCGGTAGGCCAATCCTTTTCGGAGGCAGGCGTTCTTCATCCTAATGCAAGCATTTTCACAGGAGAAGCTTACGCAATACTGGTGGTCGTAAAACACATTAAGCAGATAAAATCCCAAAAGGCGGTAATATACACAGATTCCCTAAGCGTGGTCAAAGCCCTGAAAACTCCTAAAAAACACAAGAACCCCGTGCTGGTGTCACTTTACTCAATTCTGTGCACACTCTACACATTAAAACAGCATGTCGTTGTCTGATGGGTTACAGGGCACCGCGAAATACAAGGGAACGTTTTGGCCGACAATCTGGCTGCTTGCGCCAATGTCACTACTGCCAATGCATCAACACCAGTCCCTGCACTTGACTTAAAACCTTTTATAAAACGAAAGCTCAGGTAGTATGGGCAGAGCATGTGGGATAAACACACAGATAATAAACTCCATGCTATTAAGCCGCAACTAGGTTATTGGCCGCCACTATCAAAATCACGACACACAGAAGTAATACTAACAAGGCTTAGAACAGGACATACACATTCTACACATTCATTTCTTCTGTCTACCGGTGATCCACCATATTGTGAGAGATGTGGAGAGCCCCTTACGGTTCTCCACATTCTCGTCCAGTACAATGAGCTAGATGCTCTAAGAAAAAAGTACTTTTTACTGCCCTACCGACAGCAGCTCCCTCTACACCCTTGGATGCTCATCGGTATAGGGATCCGCTTTTTAAACTGCAAACACTTTTTACGTTTTTAAAAGATGTGCAAAGCTTTCACCGGATATTTCGAGGTCATCCGTAGCATGACCTCTATAGAGTGGTCGTGGCTGCGGTGACTACATCTTCATCATGGTTTTATTATCATGACATTTTGCCATCCGCTATCACTACACATATGTCACGCCACTGTCATGATTTTATTACTTTCATGTTTTAACCCGCGTTAGAGCGAGGAAATTTAAGGCCCTTTTTGCAGCCACGCACCATATCATTGTTCATATCTGTAGCCAATTGAAATGGTGCTCTTTGGCCATCAATTGGCCCTTGCGCCACTAAAAACTACCCATCATCATCATCACTGTGAAAAGAAAAAAATCAATGTTAATTTGAACAAACATTCAGTTTTGCTACCCTACTAGGGGCACAGGTGGTAGAAACAAAAAATAAATAAACATACACCATACTCACGGAGTAAAAACTGATGAGCGGGGTGAAGCGTCCATGCCTTCGTTCATCCATTCATCCATGCGTCCGTCCATGCGCTCATTGTCGCCCCGCCGCGGTGGTCTACTGGCTAAGGTACTCGGCTGCTGACCCGCAGGTCGCGGATTCCAATCCCGGCTGCGGCGGCTGCATTTCCGATGGAGGCGGAAATGTTGTAGGCCCGTGTGCTCAGATTTGGGTGCACGTTAAAGAACCCCAGGTGGTCGAAATTTCCGGAGCCCTCCACTACGGCGTCTCTCATAATGAAATGGTGGTTTTGGGGCGTTAAACCCCACATGTCAATCAATCAATGTGCTCATTGTCCGCACCTCGGGATCCTGCCGCCAAGCACGAGCCGCAGCGGCCTTCCGAACCCGGCGCTCCTCGTCATTCATGGTCCACCAAGCTGCACGATCTGGCAAGAACACTCGTACGGCGACGATCTAGGAGATTCACAGACAACGGGCTCTCCGGTTGAGCCCCACGCAGCCCGCGCCGCAGCCAATCGGAGAGCAGCTGCACCACCAAAGTCATCTAGCATACCTTCACCGAACCACCATATTGTACACATGTCCATAGGACAGCACCCTCTATGAAACGAAACGAGAAATGGAATGCGTACAACGCATGCGTACAGCGCTTACTATACTATAGGTATGAGAATGGTCGACGACCGATGCCGCTCGAGCACCGGGCAGGTCTCGCCATAAGGATCTTTGCCCCTGAAAGAGAAAGAAGCCGAAATGGTTGGAATTGTAGTACACTTAAAACAAAATGGTCATATATAGTGTAGCACAAACGGTAGTGCAATGTCAAGACTGCTAAGACGCCCTAGTGTCGTTCCCAGTGCACGATGACTCTCGTCCATCATATATCCCATGACGACGCTTTTTCCGCTCGTGAAGATTTTGACAACTAATTCGATTCCTGCGCTCAGACTACATTAGTGTTCGGAATTCAGAAATAGTTTGTCACAATTATCTGCCGTCGAAACGCATCAGCACAGCCGTGAAAGTTGTTTTTTCATCTCTGTAGCGAGGACAGTCGCAAAAGTTGTATTCATGTCCATGTTTCAGCACATCATTGCCATGGGCGAATCTACAAGTGTGCAGACTGGCATGGATGGCTTTGTAATATCCTGGAGCGAGTTCATCGAGATGGGCACCAAATCACGCCTTCTATCATCGCCCTCTATCGAGTACCAATCAAATCGCATATGCTACATGCGTTCTACGAGCGGCACCACAGGAAAACCCAAAATGGTCGTGCACTGCCACGATTCACTTGTGGCAAGTGTAAAGGCTAACAGGTGATGAGTCAATTGCCAATTTTTTGTCATTGTTTTGCTCTAGTATAGTATGCGGTTTGTCTACTATGCGGCAAACTTAAAGTTTATACGCTCTGGTGATGAGATGAGTTTTACTTTTGAGTGTGTCTTCTTTGGCCTATCGCAGTTACACTCTGTGATGGCGTAGGTCCGGTGTCTTAACACGCGGTTCACTGGCCGCATGCGGCCCACGGATATTTTGCTTGTGGTCAAGGCTGGACATCTCGCTTGCGAACCGGCGCGGACATGACTGCCTTGTTCCCATTTTGTTTCTATTCAAGGCATTCTCGAAATCCATATTTCTCCAGCTTGTCTTTTTTGTCTAATCTTGACGCCAAATATGCTTCAAAAATGGCCTACATAGTGATATGAGAAAAAAAACCTCCCCACATTACATTTATGAATCATTTATGATGGAGATTAGGCCGACTTGAGCCATCAAAGAGAACGGCTCATCGAATTGTCTAGGAATATTGTAGTCGGTATTACTAGTATTGCTATTAGGCTCGCATTGCTATTAGGCTCGCTAAGGGATTGGCTTGTCAAATTGTCTAGCGAATATTCGTCAATGTATTGTTGGTATTGCAATGTCCGCAGTCAACTCAGTTCTAGAAATTATTTTTCATCTTATCAGTAGCACCTGAAACCCAGTATAAATTTATGTATTTTTGATTACTTGTTGCACACCTCCCAATCAGTTACACATAAGTGCAATACAGTAACTGCATGAATTGGAAAACGTCAAGACTCGGATATATCCTGCCTACAACGTTATAAAACTCAGACAGTTATTCCAAAACTAGCTGTTCATTTATATCATATACTGATCATGGATCCGTTGGATAGCTTAGGTTTAGAATCATAGGATACCGCAGTGTTAAGGTACAACCAATGTTACAATGAACCTTTTATGTCAGTCCCATCTCACTTGGGTTCTTTCTTGCAGTATGTCCTAAATAAGCAATTAAAATGAATGCATGAATTATACATGCAAGTATGCGCAAGTGTAAATCTCGAAAGACAATAAGAGACAAGTGGGGCATATTATTCCAACTATGCCACAAAGCACATTCATTGGAATGTGCCGTCTTTTCTAGGCACGTTCGTTTTGTGCTTAAAAGCCAGTCATTGAAGATTTGTTTCTCCTGCTAAAGTACATGAAGCTATAGGGGGAGAGTGACACCAATGGTTCGCATGCAGAAGAAAGGGGGATATGCAATAAAAACGTCGTCGTCACTTTTGCAGTCACCAACAGCACATGGGCTTGTCGGCGGAAGACGTGCTTTTGTGTACCAGTACTCTTGGTCACGTCTACGCCTTGTTTGACTGCGTATGCAAGGCCATCGTCCAGGGAGCTACATGCGCGTTCCTTGAAAAGGCTGACACAGAGGCAACTCTCGACGCACTCCAGAGGTTCAAGGCAAGCACTGTACTTTTGTGTCAAAGAACAAATCACACCATTGGTCACACGTGCCATTCAGTATTCGCGTATTATGCAACGTATTGACTATTTCATGGACGGGGTTTGCTAGCGTCATGCTGCTCTGCTAGCCTCTGCCATTTTGTATATCAAACAACTAAACAAACAGTGCGACGATCGCGTACACGTAACCCCCTTCGTGGGAAAATAGATAGACCGGTGTATTCGCCGTTTCGTGACCTAATAAACTGACGTGGTGATATACATTACGATTATAGCGCCCGCAAGACAGCCCAAGGTGGCGGCTTCTTACGAAAAAACTATCTATACAAGGCGAAAAATTTATGCGCCGCTTCTGGTTTAACTTCTCTGAAGCTCAATAAACAGCGCAGGTGGTGGCGATATTATTATTATTATTATTATTATTATTATTATTATTATTATTATTATTATTATATTATTATTATTATTATTATTATTATTATTATTATTATTATTATTATTATTATTATTATTATTATTATTATTATTATTATTATTATTATTATTATTATTATTATTATTATTATTCATTTTACACATCTACAAGGAAAACAAGAAAACGGGCCCGTCTAAGTCTCCGAGGTCTTTTGTGAGAAGACCCGAAAGCGATGTGGTTAGAAGGTCACAGGAACTATCATTGTTTCCTTTTGCCAACGAACAGACCAACGAGTGATACGATTGCTTTATTGCAGACAGTAAATAAACACAACAAAGAAGAGACCAAGAGCATATATGACGTACAAATAGACGATAGCCATGAGATTTCACCGCTCAGAGAGTAATTTCTTCAGTTGCTTTTTTGAACTAGCTAAAATAGACTCTTCAGATAGTTCATTGAAAAAGTAATAATGATAATGATTGCCTTTATTTTTCGGTCCTAAAGGGACAAAGAACCCCAAACCAAAAGCTACAAAATTGTAGCTTGAATGCGTCTGAGGCCCAGAGAGAGAGAATAAAATGAGGGAAAGGCAGGGAGTTATTCATAAATTGGGCCATCTGGTTTGCTACCCTCAGGGAACCGTTCTCGGGCCCCTCCTCTTTGGCATCTATATAAATGAATTACTGACAAACATTTATTCTTCAATGAATGTTTTTGCTGATGATTTTGTTATATACCACGGCATTAACAACAAGAACGACGTCCTAAGACTTCAATCAGACATTAACAAGGTTTTGAAATGGTGTAACACTTGGAGTATGAAAATAAAATATAAGTGCAAGAACATACACATTTCTCGGGATTCAGATGAAGCTCCTACTTACCACATTAACAAAGTTGCTAATGAAACTTTTTTTTCCTACAAGTACCTCGGTGTTCACATTTCTTCTAACCTGTCCTGGAAAACTTATATCGATCATGTCATAAATCACGCATACCGAATGCTTGGGTATCTAACCGGAACTTTTCTCATTCACCCTGTTCAATAAAATTACTGCTTTATAAAACACTGCTTTGCTCGAAACGAAAATATTGTGCATCTGTCTGAAGCCCTGGCAATGATTCACTCACTTCAGACGTGCAAGATGTGCAAATCCGTGCCTTCTGTTTCATACTCTCTATCACAGAACAAGTACCGTGATTGCTATGAAATCTTGTTTGCCCCTCTCTCCTATCTCTTATAACAGGTTTGTAGCTTCATTACGTCTTTTTCATATAATATACTGATACAGCTATCTGGAAAACAAATTACTCAGAAGGCTCTCGTGTATATCAACTCGCACCAATCACCGCAGTAAAGTTGGAATTTCACCGTGTCACACTAAATGTTTAATGAATCATTCATACCCATAACTTGTGTCAGGTGTAATGGCCTTCCCCATGGCACCCCTTATATAACAGATAACAACATGTTTCGTAAAACAGTTGCTATTTTATGAATATATTTAGGATTATTACTGATTGTATATTTTTTGTTATAAAAACTGTTCTCTTGTACTCCCGCTAGTACTTTTCATTTTTTTGTCTTGCTGTGACTTTCTTAATCTCCACATTGTAGTTCCATATATTATTTTCCTGTATGCGGTGATGTTTTCTGTATTCTTCATGTATCCCCCCTCCTTTCTCTAATGCCTTTGGGCTCTGAGGGGACAATAAAAAATAAATAAATCGTTATTATTAATAATAATAAATAAATAGTTATAGTTAACAGATCTACAGAGATATTTACCTGGGAATCAAACAGCTCCGCCATTAAAATAAGCATCAAAAGTATGGGGACGTCTTAGCAAATTATTGGACGTATTCACAGGTGTCCACGTTTAGCACGGTGCCATATATGGCCCGTTGCCTTCTAGAACATCCGCAACGCAGCCACTACGATCTCAGCCACTTGCGCTACCTTGCAACTGGAACAAGCTACATCAGTGAAGATGTTGCGAAGAGCCTCTTCCGTGAGCTCAACCTCAAGAGCTACGTTCAAAGTAAGTTTTCCCGTGCGTTCATTGATGCCGGAGGCTCCAACCACCCGGCCATTGCAGCCGCATTTTTGATGGAGGCGAAAATGCTTGAGGCTCATGTACCTAAATTTAGGCGCGCGTTAAAAAGCTTCATGAGGTAGAAATTACCCGAGTCTATCGCTATACGGCGTCGCTAAAAATCGCATCGTATAGTTTTGTCGCCGTGTGGATGAGGCGAACTATGGCACCCTGAGACCAACAAATGCCGACTGTTAGTACTTCGGTAAGCTTCAGCGCATTGATGTAGCCTACTCTACGGAACACAAGTATTATGAGGAACACCTTCCCACTTTCAGGACTCAATCTTTGAACTCGGTCACTCGAATCCCCGAAGCGCGGTCTTGTATATGCATGAGCACATACGCATGGGCTACCCCATTAATGGGGAATGCGCAGCTTGGCGTTTCTTTGGTCAAACAACAATGCTTTGAAAAAGCACATATAGAGTACCACTGTTTATTATGTGCTTGTTGATACCATTTTTGTACGGTGTTCACCATATTGTAGCGATGCTGAGGCAGACAGGCTAAAAAAACAAGCAACTTTATTAGGGCGAACTTGTGCCCACAAGTCTAATGACTATGGTCGTCGAGTCCGTGTAGTCGAGAGGCACAGATTCAACTAACTTCCTCTTCCTCGTTGTTGGAGCGCACGAACGCGTGACGCATGCCAGCCGGGTCTTGCTGGTGCTCTTGCCATGATGATTGCGGCGGCTACTTGAACGTGGCCAACCTGTCGCGGCATTATCCCCCTCCTCAGACGCATCGTACCGATGCTTGAGAGAGTGAAATGATACATGCGCCCTCTCACTCGTTTTCCGACGATCTGTCATGATAGGGCTTCATGCGGACTACGTGTACCACTTTCGTGGTATGGCGGCGTCTTGAGCTCACGTATCCCGCGGATCTGACTTCATAAATGACGTCGCTGATACGGTTGAGTACTTCATAAGGGCCGAAGTATCGACAAAGAAGCTTTTCAGAGAGTCCGCAGCGGCGCACTGGGGTCCATATCCACACTTTGTCACCGGAATGATAAAGTGCGTCACTGCGTCGCTTGTTGTACCGACTAGAGTCGACGCGTTGTTGACGGCGTATTCGGTATCTTGCCATTTGTCGTGCTTCTTCGGCTTTTTGCAAGAAGTCATCTAAGTCAGGTGGATAGCTGTTTTCGTCCTGTAGTGGTAACATGGCATCCAGCGGGGTGGTCACTCTTCGGCCGAATACTAGTTCGAAAGGGGCAACGTGGGTTGTTTTTTGAATGGCTGTATTATATGCGAATGTTACGTAGGGTAATATTTCATCCCACTGTTTATGTTCAACATCGACATACATTGATAGCATGTCGGTCAGAGTTCTGTTGAGGCGTTCGGTTAAGCCATTTGACTGAGGGTGATACGCCGTTGTTCTTCTGTGATCGGTATTTGTCATGCGCACCAGACATTGCATAAGGTCTGCAGTAAATGCGGTGCCCCGATCCGTAATAACGACGATGGGTGCACCATGTCTGAGCACTATGTTGTTCACAAAGAACTTGGCGACTTCGGCAGCTGTCGCGCTGTACAGAGAGTCAGTCTCAGCATAACGGCTCAGATAGTCTATAGCTACGACAATCCATTTCTTACCTACACATGATGTCGGGAAAGGTCCTAAGAAGTCCATGCCGACTTGTTGGAATGGGGCATCCGGAGGGTCTATTGGATGGAGAAGGCCGGCTGGTTTTACGGCTGGAGTTTTGCGCCGTTGACATTGACGACAAGTTTTCACGTAGCGCTGCACTGATGCGAGCAACTTAGGCCAATAGTAGTTCAGGCGAATCCTGGCGAATGTTCGGCTTACACCCATGTGTCCGGATGTTGGCTCGTCGTGGCATGCATGCAGAATTTCCTGTCGCATGGCTGTGGGCACAACTCGTAAAAACGTTTCGCCATTAGGTTCAAAGTTCCTCCTGTAAAGGACACTTCCTCGAAGGCAGAACGTGGAGTGCCCTCTGGAGAATATGCGAGGAACTTGAACGTCGAGACCCTGCAGGTGCTGTGTAAGCGCCAGCAAATCCGGGTCATCTCGTTGTTGTTGAGCTATTTCGGATGCGTCGACAATGCCTAGAAACGGGAAGTCTTCCTCTTCAGGTACACTTGGATCGACGGGAGAGCGAAACAGGCAGTCGGCATCACTGTGTTTCCTTCCAGATTTGTATACGACCGTAATGTCATACTCCTGCAGCCTAAGGCTCCATCTGGCTAGTCGACCTGACGGATCCTTGAGATTTGCTAGCCAGCATAGAGCATGGTGTTCACTGACAGCTCTGAACGGTCTACCATAAAGGTAGGGTCGAAACTTATTTATTGCCCAGATGACTGCGAGGCACTCTTTTTCAGTAGCAGAGTAGTTTGCCTCAGCTTTTGAGAGTTTGCGGCTGGCATAGGCTAACACTTTCTTTTGACCATTTTCCCACTGAACCAGGATGGCGCCGAGGCCGACATTGCTGGCATCTGTATGGACTTCAGTGTCGGCTGTCTCATCAAAATGTGCAAGTATTGGTGAACCCTGTAGCCGTTTTCTTAATTCATCAAAAAATTTCTGTTGTTCGCTTTCCCATGTGAAGGGCACGTCGTCTTTCGTTAGTTTTGTAAGAGGTTCCGCAATCTTTGAGAAGTTTTCCACAAATCGCCTATAGTAGGCACATAAACCCAAAAATCGACGCACTGACTTTTGTCTTTGGGTGTAGGGAACCTCTGAACAGCGGCTGTCTTTTCTGGATCAGGACGAACACCGTCAGAACTAATGACATGTCCAAGGAATCTCAGCTCTTCGAAGCAGAAGTGGCATTTTTCGGGTTTGATTGTCAAGTTTGCTGACCGGATGGCTTGTAATACAGTGCGCAGTCGCTCTAGATGTTTGTCGAACGTTGCAGAGAATACCACCACGTCATCCAAATACACTAGGCATGACTACCATTTCAATCCCGCGAGGACAGTGTCCATCATTCGCTGGAACGACGCTGGCGCGGAACAGAGGCCGAATGGAAGCGCTTTGAATTCGTAGAGGCCATCTGGTGTTACGAATGCCGTTTTTTCACGGTCCCGCTCGTCTACCTCTATTTGCCAATATCCGCTTTTCAGATCCAAGGAGGAGAAAAACTTTGCGGATCGCAGCCGATCTAGTGTGTCGTCGATACGTGGCAAGGGGTAGACATCTCGTTTAGTTACACTGTTGAGTTTTCGGTAGTCGACACAGAATCTAAGCGTTTTGTCTTTCTTCTTAACGAGCACTACGGGGGACGCCCATGGGCTATTCGAAGGCTGGATGACATCATCCGAAAGCATTTCCTCCACTTGCTTTCTAATGATTTCCCGTTCTTTCTGTGACACACGATATGCATGTTGGCATATAGGCCTCGTGTCGTCTTGCGTTATAATTCTGTGTTTCGTAATTGACGTGCGCTGGACCTTCGAGGCAATTGAAAAGCAATCAGAGAATTCTTTTACTAAGGCGTAAATCTGTTTCTTTTGACTGTCCGGAAGGCTCTGGTTGACGGTCACGGATGTGTCGATGTTGCAGGCCACTGGTCGAGTGGTTGACGTGGTTAAGCTGCATAGTTCTGTCGCCATACAGAAGTCGTGTAAATAGGCAATAGCCGTGCCTTGAGCGATGTGTTGAAGCTCATTGGAGAAATTTGTGAGTAGGACATCTGCACGGCCATTAGTCAAGTGAACAAGACCCCGAGCTACCCAGACACCTTTTTTTAAAAAACAGCCCTACGTTTGTATCCGCTATGCCTTCGCGGTTGTAAAATGCGTCATTCTCTACGAGCACCATTATACTGCAGCGTGGCGGCACAATTACGTCATCATGAACAACGCGTAGAGCAGTTAGGCGTCGCTCCTCAGATTCCTCTACAGGTATAGCTCGTTCAGTCGAAAACGACACGCTGGACCTACGCAGGTTAGTTACGGCGCCATTAGCTCGCGAAAAAATCCATTCCTATAATGAGGTCTCTTGAACATTCTGGTAGCACAATGAAATCGGCAACGTAAATAAAGCCCCGTATTTCAAGTCTTGCGGTGCATCTGCCAAGGGGCGTAATAATGTGACCACCTGCCGTGCGTATCTGCGATCCACTCTACTGTGTCACAACTTTGTTTAGCTTCTTCACCATCTTGTGACTTATCACTGAATAATCAGCCCCGGTGTCGACTAAGGCATTCAGCTCCCATCCTTCCATTCTCAACCGCAAATCTGAAGTAACGCTTTTGTGGTTGCACCCATTTACCGGAAATACACCGTCGTCGCCCTCAAGCCATATTGGAGGATCTTCGTAATTGATGTTATCAGCGGCCTCACCTCCACAGGTCGCTTGCTTCAGTTTTCCGGGAGTGGACTTGGAGAGCGATGACCAGGCTGCCTTGAAGGTGCACGTGGGCTGGATGACCGGTAGCGCATAGGCGATGGTGACCATGACCGACGTTGGCGTAGAGGTGGCGAGTTCTGGCGCGTGGACAAGTACTCCTCAATCTCCGCTGGTCTTTCGCCGTTTCGGGGGCACGGTGCATACGACGGGAAGCTTCTTAATCCAGCCAGTCGGTAAGGGCAGAATCTGTACAAATGGCCCGCTTCGCCACAATGGAAACAAAGAGGCCTGCGCTCGTGATCACGCCAGACGTCACTTTTCCTGGGCCTGGGCTCCACATAGCGATGCGTGCTACGTGCTCCTGGGGGCAGATAGGTAGCCGTTGGTTCCCGTGGACGAGGTACGCTGCGTGCTGTAGATGGGAGAGGAGTCGCCGCCATCGCAACTGCTGCATTGTTGTGTACTGTGGGTTGTCGGAGAACTTCAGAGTACGTTCGGATAGGTCGAACCGGCTGCAGCTCACGCTCTGGTTCTCGTATTACCTGCCTCAGTTCGTCACGAACAACGTCTGTAACAGATAGTGCAGTTGGAGTCTGGGGCATTTGCAGTCTGCTCAGTTCTTCCCTAATAACTGATCTAATGAGCTCTCGCAGGGCTTCAACGTCGTTTCGCACGCCTCCAGAAAATACCTGTGCAAATGCGCAGTTAAGATTCCGGTTGTACTGCCGAACGCGCTGTTCTAGTGTTTTTTCGATGGCCGTTGCTTCCGAATAAAACTCAGCAACAGTGCTTGGAGGGTTGCGGACGAGAACGGCGAACAGCTCTTGCTTCACTCCGCGCATTAGATGGCGCACCTTCTTATCTTCAGCCATGTTGTAATCCGCACGCTTGAACAGACGGACCATGTCCTCAATTTACATGACAGCACTCTCGTTTGTGAGCTGGTTCCTGGATTGAAGAGCAGCTTCCGCTTTTTCTTTTCGGTCTATGTTCACGAACGTAGCCACCGCTTGTCGTCGAAATACCTCCCAGGTAGACAACGAGGTTTCATGGTTCTCAAACCATGTCTTTGCGAAGTCTTCCAGGGCGAAGTATACGCGACGGAGCTTCTCTCTTTCGTCCCATTCATTCAAGCTCGCCACTCTCTCGAACAGGTCCAGCCAATCTTCAACATCCTCGTACGAGTCGCCGTGGAATACTGGCGGCTGGTGCGCTTGGCTAATGAACACTTGTGCCGGTGTTACCTGGGTAGTCATAGTGGTGGCATCCATAGTTTGAATTCCCCTTGGTGCGAAGTGAAGAGGACCAAACTCAGGTGAGTCACCTCGAAGACGGCGACTTGCCCTCTGGTGTACAGGAGTCACTTCCACGGGGTTGATACGCTGGTCGTCGGGGCTACGCTGTCTTGAACTCGCGGGGCTTCGATTCATAACCCAGCACCTCCACCAGAAATGTAGCGATGCTGAGGCAGACAGGCTAAAAAAACAAGCAACTTTATTAGGGCGAACTTGTGCCCACAAGTCTAATGACTATGGTCGTCGAGTCCGAGTAGTCGAGAGGCACAGATTCAACTAACTTCCTCTTCCTCGTTGTTGGAGCGCACGAACGCGTGGCGCATGCCAGCCGGGTCTTGCTGGTGCTCTTGCCATGATGATTGCGGCGGCTACTTGAACGTGGCCAACCTGTCACGGCAATATGATGTATTCGGATGCATGTGAGTTACTTCAGCTAGCGCATAGGCAAAATCGTCACCTTTAGCGTTAGTCGTCGGGATGGGTGCATCCACGGGTCATTATTTTTTGCATCACTCGTGCTGTGAGAGATGCCGCGTAGCTGCAGACGCTGCCAACGCGGCACGCCTGCGCCGACAGCCGGTTGTCGCGTCTGGTGAGGTACTCAAGGCTTTGCCTAAATAAACAATCAGCCACACTCCTGTGATGACACGGTTCAGTTTTGTGTTACACTAATTCCCATGACAAGGGCATCAAAGAAGACGGTAGACGAAGAGTCACGCATAATGCGCATGTCCGTCTTGGAGTTTATGTTTTCGTCTCCCGTCTCTCGTTTGCTAAGCATGCAATGCCAATTAGCCCAGCTATCCATCGTGTTTTTCGTGTTACACAACTTTTAAAAAATGGCAGATCCCACGTACAGTGGGAATCGATGATATGCGAAGCACGAATGAGAAAGGTTGATATGTCACTTTAAAATCAGCACTACGCAATGAGGTGGCAATACATCTTGCCGTACATGACTTCCGTATTATGATTATCATGTTTGGATGTGTCGTTTACCTTCGTCATCTATTCACGTCTCGTGATATCAAATTTAGTATATGTGGAGCTAGCGAAACGGCCACAAGCCCACTATGAGCGTGGTATGTTGTCGTGTTCTTAAATGTTGAAGTGTTTGCTTCGCAAGGGTTTTATTTGTGCTTGCATGTTCTTTAAAGCGAAAAGAGATGCAAGCGATCAGCATAAAGCGAGCCTTAGCGCATGTATACGACTAAGAAAACTAACAACACTACATTATTAGTATTCGCAACTGTTGTTTTAGCTATACAAATAAAGGCGAGAAAATTTAGTGGTGTGGAGGATAAGCAGAATATCACTCAGTAGCCCTCGTTCACCACCGCCTTGACTACGCTATTCACCATAAGCCTTTCAATTTTCTGCGGTGTCACTGAACGAAGCTTTTGTAGAAAGATTTTTTTTTCACAAAAGCAATTGTGACTCTTCAGTAAGCGTTCGCAAATGCTTTTCCTCTATTCTTCAGTCTACGGGCAAACGGAGTTCGTCTTCATAACAGGAGGCCTGCACGATTCACCGCCAAGGTTTGCGTCGATCGGGCGTCTAGGAGTGGGCGTTGAAGCCATGGTAAATAAATTGCACGTCTGATAACCTGTAAGCCCTCATCTAAAGTCCTCCGTAGGTTCAGTAACCACTGGACTGTTTCGGCAGCTTTCCTTTCGTAACTGTGAAGAAGAACGCCACAGCCATGAAACCTCACACCACTGCCCGCCCACCACAGGCACACGCACGAAAATGTATAACCATGTGTCTTTTCAATATTGTTTATTCTTAAATGTCAGTACTCCTGACATTTATGTAACTAATACTTATTTTACGTTTCTCTCACAGATAGCGAAACGAAACAATTGTTACCATTGTCCGGAGACCAAGTTTCCTTCGTAGCTTACGGCCACTTATTAAACACACATAACAGTCCATAACAACAGCCACATGGTACGCACTTATTGAATAACTACCGCCATGCGTAACCTCGCCTCAACACACAACATAATTTCAGCGCTATAGTAACGACTTGAATTACCGTTAACTTACCAGACAAGTTATCATTTCACATTACGTTGTATGCTCATCAGATAAATCATCATTGGCACCTCTCTAGGCACAAAACCAAGAATTTTTCTTGCTTTTTTTATGTATCAACCTAAATAGCACCGCAAATACGTCTGAATGGCACCTCAGTTGGTTGTTCTACAAGTTGATATCGACAGTGCTTATGATGGACAATTTCTACTGTAACAGATGGCTGGGCAACGAACAATGTACAGAGAAAAAAATCCGTTTGATGATAATACCTAAAATTTGATTTAACGCGGCATAAAATGGAGTCTTTGTATTGTTTTGCTTGTTTATATATATGGTCTGGTAATGTTAATCTGGCTCGTCTTCGCCTTAATCTCTGTCATTGTAGCTATGAACTCTTGGTACTGACACTCGAGACTAACCCCATACTGTATTTTGTATTTCTTTATTACTTTATATATCGTACCCAACGGAGAATGCACGTATTCTCAACATTTTTGACAAATCATAAAGTTTTCTAACGTAGGCCAACACATTTCGTAGCCTTGTCAAAGAAAGAAGAATCAGGCTCGACTATAATTTTTGCCGGACCAACGGAAAGCACCTTGTTGTGTGCTCTTTCACCGTGACGACAAACTTGCCACACCGTATGTATACTAATCTTATGATCGTCGCGTCCAACGCTGCAGGTAATAGACAGCGAAACGAAAAAGCCACTTGGCCCAATGCAGCAAGGTGAGCTCGTAGTCCGAGGGCCCGGCATAATGCGAGGATATTGGGAATGGAAGATGAGCCATGCACGGATTCTGAAGGATGGTACAGAACAGGTGATTTACATCGTCTCAAGTTTAATCTAATTCGGAGTAACAGATAAAGCGATCCTCTTAGGTCAAGGACCACTTCGTTATAAACATTCGCTTAGAAAAGCATTCATGTACTCTGTGGTCGTACGTCTTTTAAATGTGTCTATGAAAGCCTTTCATTTGCATGCTTTATTACATATTTGTGTTCATGTGTATGGCAATCGATGCCGTTTTCATTACCCCTTAGTGTCTGGTTATTCTTCTCCTAACTTTGGTTTTAATGATAAAACAAAAACAACGCTGTGTATGTCAATGTCTTACACTCACTTGGCAACTCATCCCCAAGATCATCCCTTGTCCACTCATGCAGGTGACGAGTGCTACTTCGACCAAGAAGGCTGGCTCTACCTCGTGCAGCGACTGAATGAGGCCATGTACTGCCGCAACTTCAAAATTATACCAGCCAAAGCTGAAGCAGTCCTGTTACAGAGTGCCCATGTGAAAGACTGCGCTGTCGTGGGCCTGCCGGATATACAGGCCGGGCATCTGCCGCACGCCATAATAGTCCCAAAGGTCGACAGCAACCACCTTGGCCCAGAGTACTACAGAAACTTTGCTGATGGTTCGTGCAGGCTACTTTTTCAACTATGGCGTTCGTAATGTTTGGTCGTTGTGTTGTTTTTTTCTTGAAATAGTAATTCATGTGTTCTGTGTATGCCCGTTTCCGTAATGATCTTCGCTGAAGCCCTAATTCCTACCACACTTTGACAATATATGAAAAAACTTGACGTCGTTTGTGCAGTAGATTAAAGCGTCCTTTATATTATGGGGACTTTCTCGACGAGTTTCCGCCGTCCGCGTCGTCATTGCCTCCATGTTCCGTATAAAGTCAACATTGGTAACATAGTTCCGCACATCGTATGCTACCCACGTGCACGAGTGGGGCGACGAACGCGGCTGAAGCAGAGATCAAACGAACCAGCCTATCTCTGCTGCTTGGAGGGCATACGATGACATCACCCCACTCAGGAGGCCTGCCGTTAAAGCAATGAGAAAACGTCCCTGCTGTCTATAACGAGCACGGAAAAAAGCGATACGTTGAGCTGTTGCATGCCACGCTTTCGCCTCCGGAGCTTGTTGGCGTTCCCGCTTTGACGCTGCTTCCCAAACTCTAGCCTCCGGGCTAGCTTGTTTCCTGCGTCGGCAGTGCCTCTCGCGGGCGAGCGGGCGTTCACGTTCGTTTCCATCCATGGCATAAAGACGAGATTGTGTTTTCGGGAACGCGCTTATTCTTAACCGTAATCAGCTACAGCACAAAGTGCACACGATGCCTTACAGATCTGTAGCGGGTACTTCCCTTATCTGCAGAATGACGAATGGCACAGTAATATAAGGGGTGGATCACTACTTCGTGAAAGTTATGGTGGGCGTATAGCGGGTACCCTGCATGTTCCGGGCCATGACGTATATTCGGTGGAAGCGTAGTTCATACACTATAGCATAGTGAGCCGGCAAGATCAGTTGTCATTATTGCGGCATGTTCCGAACAAATCTATTGTTTCTTTATTAGTTGCGGTCTCTTGAAACACTTCAGTTGGATACGTGCTGCTGAAAGCGCTTCATTTTGCTGGATAATGTACTTTCACAATTGTCGCACCTCATGCAGAAGTTCAACTGCAGTGGCTAACGCACTCAAAGCCATCGCGAGCCACCACACAATTATTTTGTGCGTAATATTTGTGCGACCTTCATGTTCCTTAGCATTAGGTGCGTTGTTGGGTGTGCCTTTGATCCCACGAAAATTTTAACTGATGTGTCAGGAACGAACCCAGGACATTTATTTGTCCCGACGAGAACGGAAATTCATTCTGAGCGGTGCATCAAAGTCGGGACAGTTGGTAACCACATTAGCCTCCCGTGCATCAGAAGACAGGACTTGCGTAGTGAGCGCTTGCTCCGAAGCTCGTTTAGTGTCGCGCGCCTCGGCCTTCCTCCTTTCCGCTTCCAGAGCTCGTGCTTGCGTACGTCATCAGTCGCTCGCCGGCTTGGAACGCGCGATGCCACCGATGTCTCCTCGGGCAATATATCCGTCCCACGTAGGCTTTTTGAAAGCCTTCGAACTGATATTCTTTTGACTGAACGGTCAAGTACTATCCCTACAACTATACTTCGCTAGCCATTGGGCAACAAAAGTGGAAAAATGGCACTAACATGTTCTCTAGTTTACAGTGTGCTCGTACTCACGATCGAAAAAAAAAAACAGCAGCATATCCACGGGGTGAATGATGGAGAGTGGGGCGAAGCATCCATCCGTTTATTCCTTATTGCTTCCGTCCATCTATGCGTCCGTCTGTGTGACCGTCCATGCGTCCATCCGCCCGTCCATGCGTGCGTCTGTTCATGCATCCGCAGGTCCATCCGTGCGTCCATCCCTGCGTTCGTCCATGCATCCGCCCCTGCGTCCGTCCATGCGTTCATCTGTCCGTGCAGCCATCCGTGCGTCCGTCCATGCATCTGTCCGTGTGTCCGTTCGTTCATTTAGTCAGCGCTCCAAGTACCACCATCTCGCATATCTTTTCATCATATATTCCGCATAAGAAGCACCGCCATCCAGGGGACATTCCAAGGACAAAACGAGAGGTGGCACACGCACACTTTCTTACGGCTTGCGCTTCGTGTCTACTTCCCATCTTTAAACACCTCGAGTTCATGGTATATACTAGTTCACGGTATTCACGGCACTGCGGCCCAACGCTCACTAAAGCTTTCTCCTTCCATTCGTTCTTACTTCCGTTCATCCATGCGTCCGTCTGTGTAACCGTCCATGCGTCCATCCGCCCGTCCATGCGTGCGTCTGTTCATGCGTCCGCACGTCCATCCGTGCGTGCATCCCTGCGTTCGTCCATCAAATCCGCCCAGCGTCCGTCCATGCGTCCATACGTCCGTGCAGCCATCCATGCGCCCGTCCATGCATCTATCTGTGTGTTCGTTCGTCCATCTAGTGAACACTCCAAGTACCACCATCTCGCATCTCTTCATCATATTGCCACGTTCCATTTCACAAGTTTTTGTTATCGTTCCGAAACACCACACGGTTCTCGGCGCAAACCGCGCCTGCAGGTTTCGAGAAGGTTCCGGACTGTAGTAGATCATTTCGATAAGATCACGCCCACTGTGCGAACGGTACAGATTGTTCTGGAACCTACGCCACCGCCAGCGATAACGCTAGAACATTCGACGGCAAGGGTATAAATGCCGACGCGCTTCGCCGCTTGTCAGTAGTTGATCGAAGGCCGACGCTGCGTTCGCCGCTATCAGTCCGAGACTGCTATCTGTGCAAGACTGCTGCTGTAATTAGACTTTCCCTTTACCGGGCACAGGTTCGCCCAAATAAACAGTTAAATCCCAACACGAAGTTTTCTGTCTTTGGTCACGTCACGACCCCGTGACATCTGGTGGAGGTGCTGCTTCGTTCATGTACCGGACGCCCCCGTCAAGCTGTGAACCCAGCCCCCTTCGCGGAGAAGACACCGACGCCAACCAAGAGCAGCGAACGAGCCGCCGACAGCAAGGCCTCCCACCGGAGTACGGCCTGCTACAAGACAAGGCGCGGAAGACCAAGACCATGACCTCGACTGCAGCGACAATGACAACCGGAGCGTCCCAGCCCGCGATCGTCATTCATCAACCCAGGGAACCACCAACGTTCCATGGCCCATCGTTTGAAGACCCGGAAACCTGGCTAGAAACATACGACCGTGTGGCCGCCCTCAACCACTGGGACAACGAAGAAAAGCTCCGTCGTGTGTACTTCTACCTGGAAGACACCGCAAGGACCTGGCTAGAGAATCGGGAGTCCACGCTCCGAACGTGGGATGTCTTCTGCGGCGCATTTCTTCAAACGTTCGCAAGCGTCGCTCGCAAAGAGAGAGCCGCTACTCTACTCGAGACCCGGGTTCAGCTACCAAACGAAAAGGTTGGAATTTTCACAGAGGAGATGACCCGCCTATTCCGTCACGCTGACCCAGACATGCCTGAGGAAAAGAAAGTTCGTTTCCTCATGCGAGGGGTCAAACAGGAGCTCTTCGCGGGACTAATGAGGAATCCACCGAACACCGTCCAAGAATTTGTATCCGAGGCGACCACCATCGAAAAAACGCTGGACATGCGCACCAGACAGTATAATCGTCGCCTGACTCCAGAATGCGCTGCTGCTCAAGCCAGTGACTCCGACGACCTGCGTGAAACGATCCGAGCGATCGTGCGGGAAGAGCTTCGCAAACTGTTGCCTTCGGCGCAGCCTCAAGTGGATTCGATCGCCAACATTGTGTGAGAAGACGTCCGGCAATCACTTCGAATTCCCGAAACACCGCCGCCCGAGCCAGAAACTATGAGCTACGCCGCTGCAGTGCGCCACAACGCTCCTCCCCGTCCACGCCAAAACGCCGCCCCGTCACACTTCCGTCGCCAGACGCCACCGCCGCCACCACCCAAACCGATGTCCTACCGTTCCCCAGCGGGCCAGCGCAGTGCACCGAGAAAAACGGACGTTTGGCGTGCACCTGACAACTGCCCGCTCTGCTACCACTGCGGCGAGGCCGGGCACACATACCGCCGTTGCCAGTACCGACAGATGGGACTGCATGGCTTCGCCGTCAATGCACCGCGTCCGCAGCCAGGAGATCGGCCACGTGACATCGCCGACTACCTGGCAGGAACTCAATGGTCACCACGAAGTCCTTCCCTTCGCCGTCTCCCAGCCGCCGCATGTCACCGCACCTTCGGCAGTACTCTGGCCCAACGCGGGGCCGGTCTCCTAGCCCGTATCCGGGAAACTAAGGGCAGCAACCGATGGAGGTGCGGTTGCTGTGCGACGAACTACCGAAGATCCTCCGACGACGACGCCGACGCGACGGAGCTTTTTGAACACAACCCCAACCAGGAAAAGCCCTGAAGGCAAAAGCTCACTTACCGAAGGTGGCCGGACGACGCAACATGGAAGCAGCGGAACAAGCCGACGCAGCCGTGACCCGACGCCACGCCCTAACTGTAATGCGAGACGGCGAACTAGCGACCTCGACGTTCTTATCGACGGCCACAGTGTGACTGCGCTCGTCGATACTGGAGCCGACTATTCTGTCATCAGTGGGTCGTTCGCCGCGAAGTTAAAGAAAGTTAGGACAGCTTGGAAAGGCCCTGAAATCCGCACAGCCGGAGGTCATCTCGTAACGCCTGCAGGAATCTGCACAGCGAGAGTCACCATTAACGGCCGTATTTATCCTACAGACTTCGTAGTCCTACAGCGTTGCTCGAGAGATGTCATCCTTGGCATGGACTTCTTATGCCTCCATGGTGCTGTCATCAACCTAAAAACAAGGTCGATAACGTTATCCACAGAAGAAGCACTACCGCCGCGCACGCCGTCAGGACACCATGCCTTGAATGGGCTGGAAGAACAAGTCACCATTCCGCCTCGCTCAAGCGTCATTATTTCAGTCGGCGCTCCTAAATCACCTGACTTGGAAGGCGTCGTTAAAGGCAGTCAGCATCTGTTGGTCACCCGAAATATTTGCGTCGCAAGAGGAATTGCAGAGCTGCGGGGAGGCAAAGCAACGGTTATGCTCACGAATTTCAGCAATGAGTACAAACATGTGAACAAAGGAACAACGGTCGCATACATCGAAGAAATTGTCGAAGCCACCAGTTCTTTCGCCCTCGCCGATTCTGCGGAACCTGCTCAGAGGAACCAAGCCCCTCCCATAGCTTTCGACGTCAATCCCAGACTTCCGAACGATAAGCAAGAACAGCTCAAGGCCCTGCTCCTGCAATACGAAGATTGCTTTTCGTCGTCATCGAAAATTCGGCAGACCCCAATCACGAAACATCGAATCATAACCGAAGAAAATGCCAGACCACTCCGTCAGAGTCCGTACAGGGTTTCGACGCGAGAACGTGAGGCAATGAAGAGACAAGTTGATGAAATGCTGCGAGATGACATTATCCAGCCGTCCAAGAGTCCGTGGGCATCCCCCGTGGTGTTAGTGAAGAAAAAGGATAGGACCCTACGTTTCTGCGTCGATTATCGCCGCCTGAACAAAATCACAAGAAAGGACGTGTATCCTCTCCCACGAATAGACGACGCCCTTGATCGGCTCCATAACGACAAGTACTTCTCGTCAATGGACCTCAAGACTGGCTATTGGCAAATCGAAGTCGACGAAAGAGACCGAGAGAAGACGGCGTTTATAACACCGGACGGCCTCTTCGAGTTTAAGGTGATGCCCTTCGGCCTTTGCTCAGCGCCTGCAACTTTTCAACGCGTTATGGATACAGTACTGGCAGGATTGAAGTGGCAGACTTGCCTTGTGTACTTGGACGACGTCGTCGTGTTTTCCTCGAGTTTCGACGAGCATCTTCGGCGCCTTGAAGCTGTACTTCAAGCCATCAAGACGTCCGGACTCACACTGAAGCCAGAAAAGTGCAGACTTGCGTATGAGGAGCTTTTGTTTCTGGGACACGTTATCAGCAAGTCTGGAGTTCGTCCCGATCCACGGAAAACAGCCGCCATCGCCGATTTCCCGCCGCCCACTGACAAGAAGGCCGCGCGCCGATTTCTGGGTCTGTGCGCCTATTATAGGCGGTTCGTGAAAAACTTCGCCCGCATCGCCGGTCCTCTCACTAACCTTACTAAGGCCGACTCGGAGTTCAAGTGGAAACGCCACAGGAACACGCTTTCCAGGAGCTTAAACATCGCCTCCAGACGCCTCCGTTACTTGCCCATTTCGACGAATTCGCCGAGACAGAAATACATACTGACGCAAGCAGCGTAGGTCTTGGCGCCGTTCTTGTGCAGAGGGCTGACGGACTTGAAAGGGTTATTAGTTACGCCAGCCGATCGCTATCCAAAGCAGAAGCAAATTATTCTACAACAGAAAAGGAGTGCCTCGCCATCATCTGGGCTACGTCGAAATTTCGCCCCTACCTCTACGGCAGGCCCTTCAAAGTTGTGAGCGACCACCACGCCTTGTGTTGGCTAGCCACCTTGAAGGACCCTTCAGGTCGTTTCGCACGATGGAGCCTGAGACTTCAAGAATATGACATTACTGTCATTTACAAGTCCGGCAAAAAACACTCCGACGCTGACTGTCTCTCTCGTGCGCCTGTCGACCAACCGCTACCCGACGACTCGGATGACGACTACTTCTTGGGAACGATAACTACCGACGACTTCGCTGAACGACAGCGGGCCGACCCGGAACTTAAAGCCCTAATAGAATACCTCGAAGGCAGGACCGCCGAAGTCCCGAAAGTATTCAAGCGTGAGCTTGCGTCGTTCTTCCTACGAAACGGTTTTCTACAAAAGAAAAACTTTTCACCGCTTCGAGCTAAGTACCTCCTTGTGGTGCCTTCAGCTCTGCGACCAGAACTCCTGCAGGCCCTGCACGACGATCCGACGGCAGGGCACTTCGGTGTTTCCCGTACGCTCGCGAGGATACAAGAAAGGTACTACTGGCCACGTCTTACCACCGACGTCACTCGTTATGTGAGGACATGCCGGGACTGTCAGCGACGCAAGACACCGCCGACAAGGCCAGCGGGACTTCTGCAGCCAATTGATCCACCTTGCCGACCTTTCCAGCAGTTTGGTATGGACCTACTGGGGCCGTTCCCGACGTCGGCTTTCGGAAACAAGTGGATCGTGGTAGCTACCGACTACCTCACCCGCTACGCTGAGACAAAAGCCCTGCCAAAAGGCAGTGTATCCGAGGTAGCTAAGTTTTTCGTCGAAAATATCGTCCTACGTCACGGCGCCCCGGAGGTCCTTATCACCGACAGAGGAACGGCATTCACTGCCGACTTAACTCAAGCGATCTTGGCATACAGCCAAACAAACCACCGCCGGACGACAGCGTACCACCCACAGACCAACGGCCTCACCGAGCGGCTTAACAAGACGATCGCCGACATGCTGTCAATGTACGTCGATGTCGAACACAAGACGTGGGACACTATTCTTCCGTATGTGACCTTCGCATACAACACGGCGGTGCAGGAGACGACGCAGATATCTCCATACAAATTGGTCTACGGAAGGAGCCCGGCAACGACGCTCGATGCCATGTTACCCAACGTCACCGACGAAGAAAACCTCGATGTGAGCGAGTACCTTCAACGCGCCGAAGAAGCCCGACAACTCGCGCGTCTTCGTATCAAAAATCAACAGACGACCGACAACCACCGTTACAACCTTCGACGACGCTTCGTGGAATACCAGCCCGGTGAACGTGTTTGGGTGTGGACGCCGATACGCCGACGTGGACTAAGTGAAAAGCTTCTGCGACGGTACTTCGGACCGTACAAGGTGGTTCGACGTCTCGGCCCACTAGATTACGAGGTTGTCCCCGACGGCATCACGAACTCTCAGCGACGCCGATCGCGACCTGAAGTCGTCCATGTTACGCGCCTCAAGCCGTTTCATGCACGTTAACAAACTGAAACAGTGTTTTTTCTTATTATTGTTGTATTGTAATTTATTCATTGTACTTTCTTGCATTATTATTGTACCTTCATCTTTAGTTAAAGCATTGGGATGATGCCTTTTTTCAGAGGGGGGCAATGCCACGTTCCATTTCACAAGTTTTTGTTATCGTTCCGAAACACCACACGATTCTCGGCGCAAACCGCGCCTGCAGGTTTCGAGAAGGTTCCGGACTGTAGTAGATCATTTCGATAAGATCACGCCCACTGTGCGAACTGTACAGATTGTTCTGGAACCTACGCCACCGCCAGCGATAACGCTAGAACATTCGACGGCAAGGGTATAAATGCCGACGCGCTTCGCCGCTTGTCAGTAGTTGATCGAAGGCCGACGCTGCGTTCGCCGCTATCAGTCCGAGACTGCTATCTGTGCAAGACTGCTGCTGTAATTAGACTTTCCCTTTACCGGGCACAGGTTCGCCCAAATAAACATTCTAAGGTTAAAGCTTGGGCGAGTTGGTTCAAATACATGATTAAAAACACAGCGCAAACAACGGCAGGAAGAAAGGAAGAGACAGGACAGAGCGCTGACTTACAACTGATCTTTATTAGGAAATGCGAACAAATATATATCATGGCAGGCAAATAACACGTGTCCACCACAATATCAAAAAATTCGCACAAGCGTCACCATCACCATATCGCTACTGTCTCACCGCACACGTGTGCGGTGAGACAGTAACCAAATAAACAGTTAAATCCCAACACGAAGTTTTCTGTCTTTGGCCACGTCACGACCCCGTGACAATATTTTCCGCATATAGAAGCACTGCCATCCAGCGGACATTCCAACGACTAAACGAGAGGTGGCACACGCACACTTTTTAACGGCTTGCGCTTCGTGTCTACTTCCCACCTTTAACCACATCGAGTTCATGGTGTATACTAGTTCACGGTATTCATGGCACTGCGGTCCAACGCTTGCTAAACCTTTCTAAAGCCAAGGAGGTTATGCCCAGTGAGTATAACGTTGCAACCCTTTCTTGTCAGATAGTGCTCAATGTACATGCCAATGGCTACTATTGGGTAATGAGAGACAGGAGAATTCGGCTTTTAGTTAACGCCTATTCGGCTTCACATAGTCTGGTTGATAAACCAATAATCTGGTTGTTAAAACTGGAATGGCTTCGCTTCTTGGATCTACCAACGTCGCCGTTTCATCCTATTCACATAGCACTATGTCTTTTTTTATTTTTAGTACTTTATTTACGCACGAAAAATTATTTACTCCATGTCTCTTATTGCTTCATAGAGTCTTTTTTCTTGTGCATATGACAAAAAAAGCTGGCGCGTCTTTTTATTCTTCTTGCTCATCTAAACTTGAGTGAAAGTCTAATCAAACATCAGCAGCTTTACCCAACACTAACTTTTTAACGTCCTTGCGTCTGTTTAAGCTTGTCCAACATGTCACTACATTTAAACGTTTCTATTGCAGAGAGGATGCCACAGGAATATAAACTTGAAGGTGGTGTCACGCTCGTCGAATCAATTCCGCGCAACAATCTGGGAAAATTGGTGAGACGCGAGCTGGCGAAATGGGTGCTTGAGCGACGTTACCAAGGCAGCCTGCAGTAATGTTTCGGATCGTCACCTCGTGCAGCTAATTATGCACGCATGAGTGATTAATATCTACACCAAACGCATTGGGGACTAAATTTACTTTTAGCTAATACGTTGTGCGCATACATATTTTGAAATAAACCGATACTATAGGATCATCAGAACCCGTTGAAATATTGCAGATATTGAGGTCTTCCTGCTCTCATTCAATGGTCAGATCAACTTAGAAATGTAAAATACCTAGTTCGGATTCTACGTTCATCAATACTTGTCAAGAAATTGAAAAATTTTACATTGATATTGTGAAATAAAGTTCTCTTGTTCAAGGGTGCCGGGTACCAGACTCGTGAATAAACACAATTTTAAACACTCCTTTCAAAACGTGTTGAGCACGCTTCTAAACTGATTCTCATCCCGTAATAATACTAAACACACTTGAAAAACTGGGAACTTTCTAGTCGTCTATTTTATCTCACATATTCTAAAACAAAATTAGAATTTTTTTTCATTTAACCTATATCCATGCTATTCTTTCCTATCGCTTGACCACATGTGTGCCACTTTTCTTGAAACATCTACATCAAAATCATCGTTATCCACAACAAGAATGAAGCCCATTGAAAACTTAAAACCAGTTTTTCAAGCTCACACTGCAAAACACTGGAGGCATACGCACATACACGAGGAAATGCGTGTTCAATGCACGAAAGGATTCACTGTTGCCATTATGGTACGTCAATATACGAGTTGTGTAGGTAACGCGTCACAAGTAACTGGTTACCTATAAAAAAAGTATTTTTTTTTATTAATTTTATAGAATTATTTTTTGAAACTGTACCGTGCTATAAAATTCACTTACATCTTCTTGTAGTTCATTGCCGGTTATCAATTACGACTATTTCCCAAGTCAAGGTTTAACCAATACACAACAGCAGTTCTGACCCCGAAAATAGTGTGACAACTCTGTAAGGACACCCACCCTTTCAGATAGTGGTCCCTACAGGGCCTTTTTTTCTTCTTGTTGTTGTCATTAGTGTTGTTTTCGCCTTTTTTTTTACTTTACCTGCAACGCTTTGTCAGAGCACCAGCAAAAGGGAAACGTGGTGCTACATGGACATTAGCAACGAAGCAGTGCGCTTCTGTACGAGCTGTTGTGTAAAGTGTTCGTAAGTTAAATACCACACTGCTCTGCAGCGCATACATTGAGATCACGTACAATGTAGCAGCGGATCTCTTAACGAGAAAATGTAGAATAATCTGCGATGTCAACGTTTAAAAACCGCTGTTGAAAGTCAACGTGTAACAGTATACATTTAAAAACTGCCAGGCCTTCGGGGAACGCAACGCGAAGTCTGAGCAAATGCTTGAGTAGCGGCGTTTCTATAGAGCTTTTTTTTAAACATTCTTGTGGCAACTATGTACAAGCACAATTGAATGGTACCCACTACGCGAGTAATCATCATAATTCTTGTGTATTTTGAAAGCGCTCAGCCCATTGTTATGCGCCATTCTTCGTAAAACCGTGCTGCTCACAACACAATTTTAAGGCACTATGTACACTTTGTTGAGACCGTGGCTGACGACAATGAATAATTATGCCTGAGGCCTTTGTTGGAGCATTCAATGACCCACTAGTTACGCAATTCTCATTACGTGGCGCCCGGTTGTTACATTGCTGTTCTAGAATGCTTCATTAGACATGTTAACGTGATTTAGTTCCCGACGTGGAACCTACATAGGGTCAGTTTGTAAGGCAGATTTAAGCTCCGGCGTTTCGTAGCTCAGTGGTGGAGTTCTGCGCTGCCAAGCAGAGGGCCCGAATTTGACACCCATTTTGTTTTTGGTATATATTTACTTCCTTTTATCATTTCATCATGAAAGCGGTACAGAAACTGGAGGCGGTGACATGTAGTGGTTTCACAACAGTTTTTGCTGTAAAAAGCCGCAGTAAACCTTCAAGCCAGCTCGCAAGTCTGCAGCCTTCGCTTAACCACACAAGCCAAAGTACTTAGTTGTAATTTGAGTAAACTTGTGCTTTCGTGTGCCGGTAATGAAATTCTGAAAGAGCGTAGCGCAAAATAAATTGATTAGGCATCAGTAACTGCTTAGTTAGTTATCGGGAGCTATTATTGACCACAATAACCATTTACAATTTAACGAAAGTGCCTAATTATATTTGCTCATCTCTAACGGGTACAGTGCACGTTATAGTGGTGGCGCCGTTACGAAACAACCAGTTATAACATTTGCATGTTTTCTAGATACATAAATTTCGCATCAAGTTTCTGCATCTTTTTACCGAGTACTACGTCTATCCACCTTGTAACGTTATGCTCATAATAAAAGTTCCACATAGCAAACTTGTGCGCATGATGTGCGCATATAATTAATTTTGATGGTATACGTGAAATCGGCTGATTTTTTTTTCATCTTTGAACGGGTACGTCACTTCCGTAAACTACAAATAACGTTAACGTAACGACCCATCACCCGTGACTTGAGGTTGTCATTGGGCTTACTGCCTGAAAAATTCATGTTTGAAGGTAAAAGTTCAAGTTATCAAAAGCGTTGAGGCATGAAATATATGTTAGTCATAATACGACTGCCCTACGCAACGTTTCGATTGCGTGAATGAAGCGTGTGAAACAATAAATGAGATTACATTTTCTGAAATAAAACGCTTACACAGCACCATTTTAAATAACGTGAATTTGTAAAAATTATTTATCTCACAGAGTTACAGTGCATTCAGTGCAGAACACTTCTGATGCGGGTTCAGACTGCTGCCGAGTTTACACCTAAACTCGCGGGAAAAATCAGAAATGTGTTGTAGAGGCGCGTCACAGACTGGACGGAACAAGCTGGACTTGCTCTCGCACTTCAGGAAACACCATGCCATCAGTAACAGCTGCACTGCCGAGTGATTCTCAAAACTCACGAGCCTCGCCGTTTCGTCAGAGCTATTCCTCAGCGCAGCCAGCAACCCCTTGATCGACAAAACGTCGTTGAACACGTTCGCTGCATTCTCTCTCTGCGAGAAGGGCGCCTCAGCGATACACGCCATGGCCTCGAGTATTGCGTCACTGTCTGAATACCGCTTCAGTGCCAGTTCACCAATCGCTTTCGCCACCTGTGCGCCGAGACCGGCGTATTTTACCGCCACCGGAAGCTGCTCGTCGTAAACTGGAAGCGAAAATGCAAGAGGCAGGAGCACGAAGTCTCGTACCTTGCTTACGGTTACATGCATATTCATGCTGTCGATAACCGTCCTGCCGAGTCCGTGGCGCTTTGGGCTCTTCTGCATTCTCAGCCAGTTTCGAATGAACGAGTTTGTCATGTCAGGAATGGTTTCACTCCACGGCACGTTCATGTGCTCCTCCGAAATCACTGCGGCCATAACCGTATCGAGGGAAGTCCAATTGGATATCACCGTTCTTTCAGCGTTGTAAAAGCTCCACGTCTCGATGCGTCGTCGATACGCGTGGCGTACGGAAAGCAAAATTGTCCTGACGTCGGCTCGCGATGTTTCGCCCAGTGCTATTCCGACAAACTTGAAGAAGGAAGAGTCTCCCAGAACGTCGTAGACGCGACCAAGGCAGAATACGCCATGCCTGAGGATCGCTGTTTCTCTGTTACCATAGTAATCCACAATCAGGTCAGAGTTCGTGAAGAGGACCGCTATCTGCACTGTACACCAGGACACGTAAGTATGCACCATCCGTTGGCCATGCCGCCGAATAAGGTCGAAAAAAACTCGCACAAATGTACCACCCGAAGCTATCACAGTAGAATGGTTATTGACTGTAATATTGTGAGCGCTGAATACTTCCTCAGTGCGAGCAAGGGACGTGTTTACCGTTATGTCATTGAGCCAAGAGCGCGCTATGGGCAACTTTACAACTCCTGATCTATCGGTATTGGCGAAGAACGACGGTCATAACCTCTTGTGCCCGAATCGTTTCACTGAAGCTTACTTTTCGACCAGTTCCCCGCGAGAACTTATCACGCAGATATTCGAAGTGACGCTGCTTTTGAGAGTAGCTGCCCAAGTCTTTGTATTCCGCGATGACTCTCCAGAAGGCTCTTCCAGCACTCAGCAGTACGTCTCTTTCCCTTCTCCTGGTCCCCTGCGTACCTGGTCCCCACGTATAACACAGAATCCCAGCCGAGAACTAGAGAGGTCGTGAGCAAGAGGCTCAACACGTCGGTCCGTTTGTCACGCATAGGGCCACGTCACTCCTACTCTGGACAGCAAGTCCTTGACATCGGCAAGCTCGTCAGTGGTCGCCCCAAAGGAGGAGCATTGCAGCTGTTGTAAAAGGCGGAGGCACGCTGTACAACGCTCTGGCCTCTTGCGGGTACGTGGACATTTCGCACAGCTTGCGAGAGCCTACTGAGCATGGCCACATATACAGATTCGTGGACGGAGTACACGGGGGCGTCCCAGCCGTCACATACGTAGCGGGTGAAGCTGCGGCATGGGTTCATGGAGAGGTTCATGGACTTCCGGAGAATACTCGAATAATCGGAGCAGGCGACTGCTGCTGCACACACTATAGCTACGTGGCGCTCTCTTCACAGCGTATGCCTAAGATGGTGAAGCTCACAAACATCGTCCCCACAATAACGGCGCTTATCACAGGTGTCCCTAGATACGTTATTAAGGAAGGACGTGCCTGGGAGTCTCAAACTTCGCAGCTTAGTGAGCAAGGACGTCCATTGGCCTTTTAGCATAGCATGTGGGGATCTTAGCTTTGGCAGGTGTCACTGATGCATGTAGGCAAGCTTCAACTTCATCTTCCTTTTCTTCTTGTTTTGTTTCGCCTATGTATTGCGATGATGATTACAGAAACAGTGATGCGCACCCACTGCAGCCCACATTATTCGTAGCTTTATTACACTACTCTAAGAAACAGCCTCATTACGTTAAGCGACGAATACAGAGGTTGGACACACAGAACAAGCCTTCTCGCTGTTTGTGCTATTCGTTCTATTGAAAATTTTAAAAATCTCCGAAGTGACGGTTTTTTTTTTACATATTCATTTCGCATTTTTATTGATTCAGTACCGAAAACGAAGTTATTTATTGGGGGAGTTGAGACTTTACACTTATTTATCAAGTGGAATCGCTTGCCGTTGTCTTATCATTATGGGAATTCTATCTATCCATAACAGATGCTGTCATTCTTACAGACCGCCTGCCTGTAATGTTCTTCAATAAATGCACCTAATATGTCGAATGTTTCAGAAGTATTTTATGCTCTTGCCCCATGACATTTGCATCTAATTCGCTTGGTATGGATGCAGGTCACAAAGGTTTAAACCTCAATTAATATGCGGATGCACTTGCAGTGGCCTCACATAATAGTCCCATAATGTCTATATCGCCAACGCTAGCATTTATCACCATGGCACGATTTCAAACATTTGTCACGTCAGATAACTTTGAAAAGTCTAGCTCAGCAACATCTGAGTTTTCTCATCTTAGGTACCATTGAAAAATTGATGATGATCCTTTAGGAGGGCACAAATATATATTACGAGACTACGGTGTCAAGTCCCTCCACTGAATTTTTACCTATACACAGGTCTGGTCTAGTACAGTCACCCTTCCGCCTCCACTGAAACTAAAGTGAATATCTGCATCATTTACTCTTAACATGCAGGTTGTTTGCGAATCAAAGAAAAATGCAGTTAGAAGAACCTCTCCATAGGTTAGCTTTGAATTTATTCCTTCCGGTGTCCTATCCTTTGAAACAACTGAATGGGCTTCAGTGACAGGAACGTGTGTGAATACGTATGCGATTTCCTAAGGCAAACAAAACCAATAGAATGTTAAGCTTAGGGCATGAATTCCCTACCTTTTGAACTCTATCCGATCGTTGGGTTTTCTTTTTTTCCTCAATTTATTTTATTTTTAATCCTTGTTTCATTATTATGTTCTCTTTTAAAAAAATCCCTATCTGGGCGTCTTCGGCTGGTGGAAAAGTTTATTTTCAAGATCAGGCACCGTTCGTTACATGGCCGATCCCCCGTGGTGGGTTACGACAGCAATCTAAAAGCCAACCAATCAAACAACCGATAAAATTCGGCCATCATACGGTTACCTTTCAAATGAACTTAAGAACCAATTTATGAACCAGTGACTCAAATTTATGTAGATAATATATTAGTTATCAAAAGTCAGGATGAGAGATGTCGGAAAAGGCGCACACGAAGAAGCGAGCCCTTTATGCTTGAGCAAATATCGGCACCGCGATAGCTCAAAACAGCTGTTATTTTTAAGCATTTCGTTCACTTTATGAATCATTCGGTTCCTTATTTAATCAGGTAAGCGTTTTATTGAATCCAACTGACAATAATAGTTTAAAGTAATGGCCACCTAACACACTAAATCAGGCGTACAAAGATGTCAGTTTATTCATTTATTGAAGTCTACACCGATAAAATTGAAAAGAAAAACCAAATTTATCTGTACAAATAGCCAATCTCACTTTCACTAGTCGCGATAACGAAATTAGGGCCATAGAAAAATAACAATATTGCCACGAGCATACGACGAGATTCGGTTACGCCTCAAAAACACATCGGTGCACCACGGTGGTGTAGCGGATACGGCACTCGGATGCTCATTCGCCGTGGCCGGTTCGGTCCACAGTTTTCTTTTATTACTGCCGAACGATTCAAACGCCTGTTAATCTTAAAGAATCAACAAAACATCGGTCCTAGAATCTGAACAACTTCGGCACTTGCAAATCACATTGAACACCGCAAAGTGCCTTTACCGTCAATGCGAGGTGACCCTCACAAGCTTTCATTGTAGAGTTCCTCGGTGAATTTTTTTATCTCCACAAATCAGGATTTTCATTTACTAACCTATGTGCAGTTTGCAATGAACCGGAAACAATAGATCACTTTCTTCTCACATGCCGCCGCTTCACCTCACTGCGCCGAATAATTCTTGAGAGACCGATGGGTATGCTCGGATTTCCAGTTAATACATCCACCCTTTTATCGTTTGGAGCCAGCCAGTTGGGTGTGGGCCGCCGTGCTATTCGGTTAGCGCTACATAAAGTCATTCAGGCAACCGGAAGGATACGCTGCTAGTGGTACTGCTAGATATACCCAATTCTTTGCCCCCCTTCTTCATTTTTGCTAATTTGTTTTATATATTCTGGTTTATCAAACTCTTCTGCACTTTTTCACATTTTTTTTTCAAAGGAACATTATTATTGTTCTTACCTAATTTCTCTCTTTTTTTAGCAAGCGTTGTATGAAAAATTTCCATTATAAGGTACATTGTGGCCGATATCCCTTGTGGGTATGAGCCAAGATCTTCTGGGCGACAAGACAAGACAATATTGGCACTGAACGTTTATATTCAGCCTAACAATGATAGATTAAATAGGGATCGCCATGTATGGCTCCGATGTTGCGCAAAGCAGTTGCCCAATACAATAAAACGTCAGGTCACAATTGCAGCAAAAGTAATGTTTACATTCTGCTATCGAACTTTCATTCTCCGACAGTAGCATTTCATCAACGAGTGTTTGCAATTTACAAGCGTTTGTGAAAGCTGTTGCACTTCAGGCCAATTAAAAGCGGTTCACAGCCGGTGCTAACGCTTCACCGAAATGATTTGTGTAGCAAAATGTATGCTGGTTGCACCTTGCGATGCCAGCAAAACCGGAACATTTACAATTATATATTCACATGTACTTCGACAGACTGTTCTCAAATTAACGCCTACCACAGTGATGAGAAGGCAGAAACATTACAAGTAAATGAGTTCGACATAACTTATACTAGGACTGTTTAAAAGAAGGTCACATCTTTACGAGCCCATGATGGAAAACACATTTACGCTCATAAATGAAACTGTCCATGCAGAACCTATGTCTTACTAAAAGTAACGAGAAAGATATAAAAATAATTGACTCCTATTATTTCTTGTAGTGACAATTGCAGTCGTCGTGACATTTTCACAGCAAGAGTGCGTTGGCACAGTATTGAAATTGTGACGTAAATCAAGCAGCTTACTAAAGCTCGTGGCATTTCGGAAAACACGGGTCAAGAAAGGCCACTAAGTCCCTTCTGCCTGTGGAGCATGTGTCAGCGTTGTCGCAAATGCGCTTGCTTTTATTGGTTATACTTAGCTAGCCTACTGCTCTCCACCCAGTTTCTGATACTGTTTTGTAGCAGTACAAGCCTTTCTTGATGTGATGCTTCTTCATTTGCTCAAAACAAGCCTTCTTTTTTGCTCCGTATCCACACTCCAAGGTACGTAAAGCGCTTTCTTCTTTCAATTCGATTCTATTCCTACATTGATCACTCATTGCTGACTGCACAAACTACTATCTTATACACTATCAAACTAGCGGGAGATATAGCTGCCCTGAAGGGACCACAAGCAAATTGTAATTTGGCTTGCGCATACTACACTAGTCGCTTCTTAGTATTCATTCCCTGTGGCGAGTATACAGCGCTTCATGATTGTTTTCTGGAGGTGGTATTCGTTCCAATATACTGTTGCCGCAGGGGGAGCGGAAATTTGTTTGGTAGCATTTATTCGGGTAAACGTGTTCATACGAACCACTGCAAAGCTGATTCATTGTGACGTTGCACTGTTTAAGTGGAGGTAAGTAATTGTATGTTGGGGATGGTGGCCCTTTTCTACGGGAGGACTGATGCGCCGCACGCGGTCAAGAAAAAAAAGGAAGGAAAAAGCCACAAAGAGAGAGAGAGAGAGAGGATGGTAGAGAAGGAAAGGTAGGGAGGTCTACCAGTCGAGGATAACTGGTTTGCTACCTTAGACGTGGGAACTGGATGGGGGAGATTGAAAGAAAGAGTGGAAAGAGACAGAAAGATGGCACATCACACAACCTATGCACATGCACCATTCAGTAAGGGTCTATCGACCTGGCGTGAAAAGGCGACATCACAAGAGCCGCTTGCCCAGGTCTGTTTATTTCAAAAACCGCAGCAGTTCTTTGGTCACCCTACACTGCAATTTCTTTTGTCGACGGCAGGCTAGAAGAGGTTCAACAGATATTTGTCTATTGTCAAGGGGCTGCTATAAAGTACGCCAGTGACTGTGTATGCAGATTAGACTGGACAGTCAGACAGGATGTGGCGTAGCATCTCCTCGCAACTACAGGCATCGCAGAGAGCATTGCCAGCCAGTCCAATTTGGAAGGAATACGATTTCGTGATTTCCACTCTAACCATATGACCATAAAGCAGTGTGGCCTCTCTTTGGTGGAGTCCACTTGGTATATCGTGACACATCAACAAGCGCAAGCGGTGTTGATGATTGATCAGGTGGGTTTGGCTGCTTGGTGGACACAATAGAGAGAGCATGATCTCCTGTGCAAGACCTCGAAAATCGCTTGTCGCGTCAGACCTTGAAAGTTGTAATGTATCCTTACGTGTGCCGGCAAGAGCAGCCCAAACGGCATTATCAGTATGTTGGTTTCCTATGACGCCGTATTTACTTGGAAGCCACTTAAACGTCACGTGGTGCCATTTATCATGCTATGTGTGAATAAGATGCCGAATTGCGTATAGCCCACAATGCGGCACCGATAGCACAGATTGTAGGGTTGCTTTGGAGTCGACGAAGAGGGAGCAACGTCGAGGTGCTTCCCCATTTGCCAACGACATGCAGCGCGCTCTGAAGCTAGTTCCACAGCAGTAAACGTCGTGGGGTGGTCAGCGCTAAACCTGATGGTAATAGATCTTGATGGAACAAACACTGCAACGGACGATAACTGGAGGTTTGTGAAACCTTCAGTATATATATTATTGTATGCGGTGTGCGAGAGGTATGCGGACAGTACACCGTCCACATACCACCCGTGCAAAAGAAGCATAGACACTTGCTTCAACACAGGCGACGACAGCTCAGATTTCTTCCAGATTCCTGGCACACTTAGATGTACTGTAGGTCGAATAAGGTACCAAGAGGGGATCAATGGTTTAGAGGCCATGGTGAAGCCCGAGGAAAGTTTGGCGTTGCACTTGACGATAGTTTTAGTGAACAATGTTTGGCATTTGTCTGAAGGCAGTGCGGCAAGGTGGTGACAGAAAGCACGTGCAAAATGTCTGACGTGTGTTCTCAGGACTTTACCGTAATGCAAGTCTGTATTAGATGGTCATGAGCAATCGCAATAGTTGCCTCTGTTGGCGAACATCTGATCGAACCAAGACACACTCTGAGTGCTTGCGCTTGGACTGCCTGCAGAACTTTAACGTTTGTTCACAAACGTTTGTTTTGCCAGTATTGTTGAGCACAGGCAGATTATATCTCAGAAAACCGAGAAACAGTTCTCTCTAGAATTTTAGCATCGCAGCTGCTGACAACCCTTCCGTCTTTCCTGCCGAGAACTTGAATAACTGAGAAATTGCCGCCAAGCACTGCTTCAAGTATATAGGCTACGCACGGGGTCCAGAAGAAATCCCTGTCAATGCTTACACTTGGAAACCTGTGAGTTCCGGCGTTACAAATAGGCCACCCGCTGATTGAGATGGCATAAGGCGTCATCGGTTTTCGAATGAAGGCTGCTGGTGCACAATTTTCCGGTGATATGCTCAGGCCTGCTTGCACAAGTAGCTTGCTGTCAAAGTTGCTGCTCTTTGAAGCCACGCACGTATCTGCAGACGTGTGGCTGTCGGAGTCCAGACACAGATGTCGTATGCGTATACTGAAGTCTTGATAGTAGTTGGCAAGGATTCTGCTAGGCAACAAATGCGAGATTGAATAGCATCGGGCTTAGGGCTTCGCCTTGAAGGACGCACCTGGAGGTATATCGTCATGTAGTTGGGTCATTGTCTGTTAACACAAAGCCAAGGTCTCAAAAGTAGCCTATGTAGATCAATGTGGCATACCTCATAAGATTGCTCTTTTGGACCAGTAGCATTTTTTTTTGTAGTTGAATTTGTTATGTTGGTTTCTGCCTGTAAGCCTGTGGGCGACACTTAACTTCACTTAGTTTGCGACTACTTTTTGTCTGGAATTTTCTACTGCTGGGGATTGTATAGATCTTAGAAGCTCATGAAGTGGAGGTGTTTCCTTGTCTGGGCGTCTGCTAATCGTGACAAGAAAAAAAATTGATTGATTGATTGATTGATTGATTGATTGATTGATTGATTGATTGATTGATTGATTGATTGATTGATTGATTGATTGATTGATTGATTGATTGATTGATTGATTGAAGCCCTTGAGAGATATTGTACAAGTTATCCCAAGAATCTCTCAAGGCAAAACTATAGAATAGCTGGTATCTTTGCTGACCTCCTTGACTGCCAAGTGTCCATCCTGTTTTTAGTGCCTCTTTTTATAAAACAGATGGCGGAATTGTCTACCCAACCCTACTTACGCCAAGGTCGAACAGGGAGAGAAAGGTGCTCCAGATAAGTGTGAATATCACACTTCATCTTGAGAAAAGCCAAGTGTTTTTCGAATGACTTTATATTTATAACCGAATCGAAATATGAAAAAATCCACTACCGCGTGAGTACGAATGAAGTTGTCACATTAGGATATTGGCCATCACAGAGTTTCGTTATTTCTTACCCCAACTGAAGCTTTTAAATTATTTTCACACGCATTTAGATGAAGCGTGAATATTACGAAAAGAACTTGTATCACGACAAACAAAACATGGCTTCCAGTCATAGTCAACGAGGATAGTGGCGTCCAAGTCGTGAGTATCTTTGTGCTTACATTTGATCTGGAACCAAGCTGTCAGCTATTTTTCTTACTCCTGTTGGCAGTTCGGGAATGTGAGCGCCACTTGTCTGTGTCGCTTAGTACCTTTAAGAAAATTACTCTCGCATTTCAGGAGTGCTTTCGCTCTGAAACATTGTAGTTTTTAACTTATTTTATATTTCCTGCATTTGGTGCTTAGGAAGGAATCTTAAGCGATACGATGCGCATCCGACCTATGGCACATATGGAGCGCTCAGAGGACGGCCGCATCCCTCACACCGTTTACGAAATCCAACTGCCTCTGTGGACAAAAGAAGAGCCCGGAAGATACAAGAAGGTATCCATTATTGCAGTGAAATCAGTAACAACTTTTATTAAACCTGGTGACGGTAGCCCACCCTTCTCAAAGTAGGCAGAGTACGCGTTCCACGTATGCGTCGGGTAAAATTACCATTGTGATACGAATTCCTAACACCTGTACAGAGAAGCAGCAAATCGGTTCTGAGCCTCTTTAGAATGTTAGGTTTATTCCTTTGCTTTCTCGGCCATCTCTTGAAGATGCGCATAAATATTGTAGTTGTTGCTCGTGCCATCGACAAGTTGTGAAATCCTGGGGATGCGACAGTGATATATATAGTCAATGCAAGTTCTTTAAGCTGACCGAAACCATTTCCTTGTGATCTTAAAAGAATAATCTAGCTATGTACCGCTTGTGCGGCCTCATTTTGCTTACCTTCCTTTTGGGCGCTCCATTGAACCCGCCGCCTGCGTGACATGCAAGTATAGGAATGTCTTAGCTTCGAGATCATTGCTATTTTAAATAACGCCGGTTATTTCTTGCGCACTCTTTAAACACCAAAACTTTAGGATTTACTTAATATAGGAATGTTCTATAGGAATCATATAGCTTCGATATCATTGATATTTTAAAGAACACTGAGATGAATCTTTCCTATGCGTGTCCACAGTAAATAAACCATGTTTAAGACACGTTGTTCTAAGGCCCATTTAAAGTCTTTTTCAAAACGCATTGTCCGGTAACCTTGGTTCGACGTAGGAAAAGGTATCTTTTGCTGCTTCTGAGTTGCTGCTGTTACCAGAGCTGAAACTAGCTAATTTAATTACGAAGCAATTACATACTCCCGGACCTATATGTAGACAAAACACAAACAGCAGAATGCTTTAGGCGTTTTTGCCCCGAAAGGTGAGGTTTGTATTGGATGCAATAACTTATTATGACCTCTCTTACCTTAAAGTTCTGGAAATTAATGATCTCGCGTACATAGGTTTACACTATGAGAAGCCTTTCACTGCAGCAGTATTTGCCATCGCAGTAATTTCTGGCGTGGTGTCATCAAGGCTATTTATTTCGTCGTGTAAATATAATAAACACCATGACGCCCGAGTTGCAACAATACAGATGTGGTCGGAATCATGGGACCCTCCTGTACTTCATGGAGATAACGCAGCTACCCAATTTTGTGTACTGTGTATCGATGCCGTGGGGCAAACGGACGCAATAAAAAAAACAAAGGTTTGAGTATGAGCTATTTGGTATTTTGACATATTAAAGAGGGCAAAACGAACCTAGGCATTGACAGCAAAAAAGAACACAGCACATCTGTGTGTACATAGCCATCTGTGTGTACTACTTTTTTCATTGCCTTTTTTTCTTTTTGTTGAACTGGTCGGTGTAAACTATGTGTTATAAGTTATTCCTGTATGGAGATTGCTTTCGATCTATTCTACAGATTTATCTGCAACCATTCATGCCCGTCGAAGAACGGGAAGATAAACAGCAAAGAGGTTTGTTATGTTATCCCTTAAATTTCTCTCAGTTGCTAGCACATTTTTCGTATACACATCGTGAATTGCTCAATGAGGCGAAGACACTACTAGATATAATGGTGTGGCCGTAGCAAAGATCTTCGTACATCTGAAACTCAGTGCTTAGAAGCCCCACTCTCCATTATTCACCCCGTGGATAGGCTGTCATTTCTTATTCGACATTTCGCATCTTCATTTTGCATATCCATAGTTCATAATAAGGTTCGATCCTATTATTTGGATGTGGATATAATAACCATTGATTTTCCACTTCAGCTATACAAACTGACCTCTACAAAATTCCTAAGGATTCTAAACATCAATATTTTATGATATATTTTGTTCCCGGTGAGCAAATCGCTGCGGTACAAACACGCTTTGTTATCGCAGCTGTACGCTACGACGAAATTTATTCTGTTTTTTATTAATGCCATGACCCATAGGGCATTAAAACGCTACAAGTGCTTGAATCCGTTCATTGACCTGTTCGCGAAAAAGTGGACGTAGGACTTGCGAGTCGAGGGCGTTGCAATGGGTGATATTTAGAAATATCCACGTCACTGTTCTTTGTCAACTGCAAAAAAGCTCTCGATACAGGCTGCATCAGCGTTTTAGGAGCGAAGCTCCTTAGGCGTGGGTTGAGCATCCCGTCGTAATCGTATGTAGACCCCTCTCGTTAGTTCTTGAACCGGCCGTAGAGGGTGGTACTTGTACATATAACGATATCCATATACGCTGAAAACTGAAAATGGTATCATACTAGAGGACGCTACTTGTAGGATTATAAATAATGAAAATCACAACATATCTATAGAGTGAATGATGTTGAGTAAGGCGAAGCGTCCATCAGTCCGTCCGCGCTTCCGTTCGTCCATGCGTCCGTCCGTGCATCCATACGTTCATCCATGCGTCCATCAGTGTGTCCATCCATTCGTGCATCCATCCATGCGTTTATCCTTGCGTCCGTCCGTTCTCTCGTGCGTCCACCTGTGCGTCCATCCGTCCGTCCATCCAGCGTCCATACATTCGTGCGTACGTCCGTGCGTCAAACAAACAGACGACGGACGGACGCGGCCAGCGGATGTCTCAGGGTTTGCTGAAAAATGTACGATACGCGCAAGATGGCGGCGGCTCGTGCTCGAAGACGGAACCCCGATGTGCGAGCGCGCGAGGCAGAAGCGTGCCGTCAATCTGCGCGGCAGCGCCGACAAGATCCCGGCGTACGAGAACGAGAGTCCGAAGCGGCACGGCAGCGGCGTGTGGACCCAGCTTCGCCCCAAACTTCATCATTCACCCCGATGATACGCTGTCATTTACTTATTCCACAGTTTGCATCTTTCTTGGGCATGCCCATAGTTCATGGTTTGATCCTAGTATTTCTATATGGCTATATTAACCGCTGATTTGCCACTTCAGTAATACATACTGGCCTCTACAAGATTTCAAAGGATTATAAGAAACATATTCGCTCAGTGCTGTTTACAGTCACTTTACACTTTTTTTCTTTACGTCTTTTCAAGGAAAACCCTATGACAAGCAGAAAACCTCGACACGATTAGCTCATATCAAACATACAGGGGTTGATTGGAGGAGTCAAAAGTTCCCATGTCACTATCTCGTGCACTTCTATGAAAGCGTGGCCTGGGAACTTTTTATCAGGACTGCACGTCGTGTGCATTGTCTCAAAATCTTGTCATATTGTCTTAAAAGATTTCAGGCGTGAAGAGCTGCTACGCTTTCTTATACTAAGATAAAGACAGTGCGCTTTGGCTAAAGATGCAGAAAAGTTCAATGGAAAGACGTTCATGCCACAGCAAATATTGCTATGAATCAAGACCAGAAACTCTCGAACTTTTTCGGTTCTTAATAACTACTGCGAAATAAGCACAACGCATGCAGTCTGTAGAAAGATAATCACTTTGCCCAGAAGGACCCTGTCCCTTTTCACAGACACTAAGTAAGGAATAGGACAGGCCGACTTCTCTACCATGTAATAAAGCATCTTTCTCTCTCTAAGTAATCTAGATGGAAGCCGACAGATGGAAACACGTAGCGGGATTATCAGGGTGAACAGTGGAAGTGCCTTCGACAGGCTGGCCGACGTTTTGATAGGAGGACTTATCTTAGTCAAAGGCAGCTTGTCATCCTTGGTGTGTTAGTTTTAAGGGGGTTAGTAGTGACGTCGTCTCCTGGTGGTGGCGTGTGTCTGCATTGATTGATCGATATGTGGGTTTTAACGTCCCAAAACCACCATTTTATTATGAGAGACGCCGTAGTGGAGGGCTCCGGAAATTTTGAGTACCTGGGGGTCTTTAACGTGCACCCAAATCTGAGAACAGGGGCCTACAACATTTCCGCCTCCATCGGAAATGCAGCCGTCGCAGCCGGGACTCGATCCCGCGACCTGCGGGTCAGCAGCCAAGTACCTTAGCCACCACGGTGGGGCATGTGTCTGCGTTGGCAACAATCGCTGTCTGAAAAAAAGAACTGCAAAGCAGAAGGGTGTAGTCTTCGCTTCATTTCAAATTAGTGACAGTGAATCATTGAATCACTATCACTAACTTGAAATGAAGCGAGGACTACACTCCTCTGCTTTATCGTTTTTTTTTTTTCAGACGGCGATTGCCAACGGGGACACGCGCCACCACCAGGAAATGACGTCACTACTAACTCCCTTAAAACTAACGCGCCAAGGATGACAAGCTGCCTTTGACTAAGGTAGGTTCTCCTATCGAAACATCGGCCAGCCTGTCTAAAGCACTTCCAATGTTCACCCTGATTATCCCTCTTTAAGTAAGAAATTTTCAAAAAAAAGGCCCAAAATATATATACGTCAATTAATTTGCCGTGTGCGTTGAAAGTGATGTCGCGTGGAATGCTACACGCATGTTCTTAGAAAAATCTCATTTCACTAGCAAACTGCAAGGGCTCAGGCAATCTGTTATGATTATTATTTTTTTACTGTACATTTCTACACTCTTAAAAAAAGTAGTGCTACTTACTAACTTTTCAGGTATTCTAAAGTACTGCCACAACCCTTTTTTTAATCCTTTCATCACCTTGTGGATTTCCGAAGAACTCATTTGAAAAAGCAGTTTTATTGTTAAAACGATCTTCGTGGTCGTCACTTTGCTGATAAGTAAAGAACAGGAATGGTCGGCAACGTCTCTTTCACTTCCTTTTGTATTTTAATACAGTAATGTTGCAGCTTCAAACACTCAAACAAAATGTAAAAAGTTAGAACTACATACAATAATTGTCGTTGTTTGCTTCCGAGATGATGGCTACATGTTATTACTGAAGCACAATTTTCTGTCTTTTTTCCTGCAGATCGTCGAAGACAACGAAAGAAATACAACCCGAAATTCATGTCGTTGTAGATTGCGCTTTCGCGTACGAATTTAGGCTTAATGAGCTTACTGTAACGCTATACGTAGCGGTTTTCTTCAACGCAGTGAGTAATCCTGCACGTCTCGTGAATTTATTTATCCTGTTCACAATTTATTCCTCTTACTGACCTAATTTGCGTTGTTCGCTACCATATGTGAAAGTTTCGTGACGCTAAAGCAGTCTCTTTGTGTTCATTGAAATAATTACGCATACGTTCGGTAAAGCTAATTCGTAAATGAAACCAGCTATTCTGATATTTCCCTGCATGTTTTGCGGGAGGATATCATTTTTTGTTTGCATGTGAAAATTTGCCTACGTTGTGTGTTAATGTATGTATGTGTGTTTGTGCGTTTGTGTGTGTGTTCGTGTGTGTGTTAGCGTGTGTCTGTGTGTGTTCGTGTGTGAAGGCGTGTGTCTTTGTGTGTGCTTGTGTGTGTTCGTGGGTGTCTTTGTGTGTGTGTGTGTGTGAGTGTGTGTGTGTGTGTGTGTGAGTGTGTGTGCGTGTGTGTGTGTGCGTGCGTGTGTGTGTGTGTGTGTGTGTGTGTGTGTGTGTGTGTGTGTGTGTGTGTGTGTGTGTGTGTGTGTGTGTGTGTGTGTGTTGCCTACGTTAGAAATTGGGGGTGGGGAGAATGTGGGAATGACTAACAAAATTGTGTAACAAATAATTTCATTGGAATGAAAACTACTGATCGGGCAATTTCAATTGTTTTCGTCAGTGAAAGGTAACGTCTATTTATAGCTGTCATGACATCAAGTCATTTTCTCAAACACATGGCATATTTCGTGTCTTTATCACAGGTGAACCTTCGCTTTGGGACTATCCGCAGACCTCGAATCAGACTAAGAGTTGTGGGAATTACCATGTGGAAAACGGTACCGATTGTTATCCTCAACGCAAAAGAATATTTTTTATAGTGGTATATGGCCCATGATGAAAAAAGATTCGTAAATTTTATTTGTTCAGAATCCGCCGTATCTTGTGCTGGGAAGGGAAGAAGACCAAGTACTGGACATCGAGACGCTAGCAAAGTTCAACGCTCACTATAGGAATACAATTCAATTCAGCGATTGCGACCTGATGTTTTTGATGACTGGGTGAGTCCTTGCCACGAAAAAAAATGCCACTTTTCAAGAACGTATACATCAGATATTTTGCGTGTCCAACCAGACAATCGATTCAAAAATATGCATAGTAATTAGCGAGTTCCCTAGCCCATTTGAATCCGGGCCATCATATGCCTCGATATCTACCAATAGATTAAAAAGCAAACAAAAAGAAACTTAATGGACACTCTTATCTCATTCTCCTCTTTGTAGAGTAGCAAGGTTGAGCAACTCATAACGTCAGAATATTCTCGCTGCCGAAGCTGTACGTAGTGCATCAAGAATACAACTTCCCTGCTTCCGCTTTTTCGAAAGTCTCTAGCTTGTTTCAACCGCGTTGTGTAGAACGTAAATAGTTCTTCTTTTTCTCTATGATATGTGTCGACATATGGGAGTTTCGTAACGTAGTAATGCGTCTGAGATTCGTGCTCGCAGTATGCGTCATGGTGGCGCTAAACATTACTCAAACTTACGACTACTGCATGTACTAATCGCAGCCCCTAACCAAACTTGGGAGACCAGGTAAATCCGAGACTGTTAGCGAGGCTCGATTTTTTTGCTTGAGTATAAGACCGATCAGTTTGACGCATGCACGTCTGCACCTCAACGAATCACGTGGCATTCTTCGCGTGGTCTCTCATTAGCATACTGCCACGGCCGCTGTATGTAAAGGTACACACTCTATCCAGTGTTCATGCTAGTGCGCTTTACTTCTAATGGGCAATTCGACCTTTAGTGCCAACCACACGTACGCAACATTTTCCAACGGTAGTGAAAGACACAAAGACGCACACAAAAACCTGGTTACCTAAAAAAGTGCACGAAAATCCAATCCATCATTCACGGAGGCATTAAGTATCAATGGCCATCGGCACTGTTGACGAGTAAACTCTAAGCTCAAAGAGTGTGCAAAAAACAACCAGTATTCTGTAAAATAAAATTCATTCACTAGACCGTGTGTGTGTCGCTTGCACGATATGTACATAAGTTTCCTTGGCACTGTATATACAGGTTAGAATAAAACTTACAGGGCGAAAAGAAAGACGTAGGGCAAGGAAAGAAATATACACATTTCAAACGCTAATTTGCAACTGAAAGGCTATTGCCCGTGTTAAATACGTATGCACGAAAATGTGGTGCGTCGCGCATCTCAAGAAGAGGCAGAAAGGCAAACAACTAGGATGCGTGTTTACAGTCGATTATTAAAGTTGAGTTTCTTGTGTTATAAAATGAAAGGATGCCTTATACCTTTAAGGGGAGCTTCCGAGATTACACGCGTAGTCTGGATAGGGTGACTGGACTGTACTGTACTTTCGAAGATGGATTGACATTTGCACGACTGACATTTCAGAGTGCGATGAGACGGCTGTATTCAGTGAATTCCAATGCTCTCTGGGGTGCATGTTGACTTATCAACCAGTCCAGCCGATCTGCATATGTGAACACCAGAAAGGAATTCGTTTCTAAACTGTTTCACAACGACTGGAAGAGCGATTGGCGAGTTTCTGATAGAATTTCCTTCTGCCCACTGCAGACCCCCGCAGCCTTTTCTACATGGAAAAACAAGTGTAACTAAGCTGCGGAAAACACAACACTCACCCCGTATCGCTTCCCCACGTTCTCTAAGACTGTACAACTTACGTATACTGTGCGTATACTACGTATACTACTTACGTATACTACTTACGTATACTACTTACGTATACTAAGACTGTGCAACTCAGCTCATCCGCCTGGCGATACCTACACTTATTTTCACACCCTTTTCCCATTCCATGCGTATAGATACATGCAGGTACGTTCGGGTATATCTAGTGTTGAGGATATCATTAAAATGCAACCAATGGTGACACGCCCTTTTCGTTTCGTGCTCGCACGGTGCCAGCAAGCAGTGTGCGGGATGGAACAGCCACCTCGCTCTGCGTACAAACTTTTTCCATAGTGTTCTGCGAGCCCACGGAACGTTCTGGGATTGCTTGAAAAAGGCTTATCAAGGGACAGGTCAGATGGAGAGAAGGTATGAGGCGAATTTGGCGACCTCGTTAGATATTTAGAATGGGCGCTGCCCCCTCTCCATCACCTGTGCGCAAGCCTGTGGTCCCAACCATAATTGTATGACCACAATGAGCCTCTCCCGAATATGCTCCGCGCTCTGAGACGACTCTCTGATACTGGGTTTCTACTGGAATTTTGTTTTTTCGTATGTTTTATGACTCTATACTACGTCGAGCCACTGATCGACGGGACACAAGAAAGGTACATACACACCAAAGCGCTAACTTTCAACAGCTAATTCTATTCCCTTTCTGGTGGAACAGAAAGATAAGGAAGGATAGAAGCGTCATTCAATGCCTCTTTCTTCATCCTGTCGTTTCTTGATAAGTCTAATGACTTATAGCTGTTGCACAGACAGATAACTTCTCTCGCCGAAGCAATTGCACCAGACAGTCACGATCCCTTCGCTTCTGCTCCTTTACCTTCCTCAATCAATGTGTCCGTTTTACAAACACTCTTTGTAAGCTGCAAGATAAAACTACGTAGATTCGCGATGGGATGCTAACAGGTGCTCATTCGAAGCAAGTGAAGGAAAACTGATAATTCATACTGTTCGACATTACGTCGGTCTTTTATAATTGTTGCATGACAGTCGGTGAGAATTAATGCCTTTCTTCGCAATCAGCGCTCACGATTGCCCACTTTTCAGACTGGACATGGTTTTCATCGAGAAAAACGTAACCAAGACCTGGGTAGGTGGTAGGTCACGTTTAATTCTTTGTCTTTGTAAGGGCACACTAAATATCTGCAAATTTTAACATGATTTTAAGGTGATAGCGTTTCTGGGTTAGGATGGCTAAAGCGCGCGCCCCTCTAGAAAGCCAGTGAGTTTTCCCTCCCAAAATTACGCCAGCGTCAACAACTGCAGGAGCTATCATACGAAGCAGCGACGCTCGACGCACGCTTCACGGTGCTGCAGTAATATACCTGCTGCGCCACTGACTATGAGAATGTGGAAACCTCGCGGCAGACCTCACACCGCTTTCTCAGTGGAAGAGTTTGCTCGAAACCGATCTGGAGAAGCCGTGAATCCTCTTGACGAGGCCCGTTTTGTAAGATCGCTAGTTAACGAGCCGGCGCTTGAGGTGTATACGTCGAAGACGGCGGTGTCGGGCACGTTCCGCTGCAGGCACTCCACGAGAGTAGATTCTCTGGTTGGAGCACGGCGATGGCGTTGGCGCAAGACTGGTCGTTGAGGCTGGAGGCGATGGCGCTGAGGTTGTTGTCAAACCACAAGTGGTCTCGTACCTTACAGCTGTGGCCGAACGAGTGATCGATGAAGTCGCGCTTGAAGCGCGCTTCAGCGCCACGAACCTCAGGGCTGTCGGCGCTTGACCGCTGCTTCCCGCGCCCGCTACGATTCGAGATTTTCTTTCCGCCGCGATGACGCAGGATGACGCGGCGAGACGCTGTGCGGACGTGTTTCGCATGAGCTCCGGCCCGGTGACCGACTATCGGCGGTCGCGCTTTTTTCTGGACTTGCTGTCAGTGGGCTCGTCTGCAGGAGGTTGCCCTGTACCTACGGACACCACTCGTTTAGGCAAGTTAGTCTCCGTTTTTGGAGTTTCCGAGATTTTCCTATCAACCCCGCGGTGGCAAGGCTAGGCCTATCTCCTAGGCCAAGCCTGGCCTGGGCCGCGTCGCCCGGCGTCTGACTTGCGCCCGGTGACCGTGGGTCTTGTTGGGCTGAAGATGGAATACTACGTCGAAGGGGAGACTATAACACCCGAAGATTTTGAAGCGGGAGAGTGGGCTCCAGTGCTGAAGTCACAGGACCAATTTAAGAAGACTGAGCATGGCGACAACGCCAAGAGTAAGCCTTGCGAGACGCAGGCCAGCAGCGACGGGCGCAAAACGCACGGAGCGCAGCAAGTCAAGCGGGGGAAAGCGCCGGTATGGAAGAAACGCGGACCGTTTATCAAGTTGGCAGCCACGGATTTCAAGATTGTGTACAGGCCCCAGAACTGGGACTTGAGTGTTGTGACAGCGAGAGAACTCGGATGTGCACTGAGAGCAGCAGCGCGTCTAACGAGTGCGATTGCCGCGGAACAAGACATTGTGCGGGTTATTGGCACAAACAACACGTTGACGGTGAGCACACCGTGCATAAATCGCTGTGGGGCATATGCGACTGTGAAGACGCTCAAGCTGGGTGATCGTGACCTGCCGGTTTCGGCGTTCGTGGCGCCGTTGGAGAACTCCGTGCGGGGAGTGATTTACAATGCTTATGATGGATGCCCAGTGGAAGAAGTTCGGGCGGGATTCCTGAAGAAGAATGAAGGCATAGACATTCTAGACGCGAGACCTCTGGGAAAGTCAAAGGCGATTCATATTACGTTCGGGGGAAAACGGATACCCCGGCAGATTACTTACTAGAACTGTCTGTACGCTGTGATCCTGTACAGAAATTTAGTCGAGACCTGCTACAACTGCAGACGAGTTGGACATCGAGCCGACGTTTGCAATCGTCCGAAGAGCAACCTATGTCACCGTTGCGGGAAGGACCATCCTGCCCCGCCAGAAGGAGAGCCACCTGCGTGCACACCGGACTGCATCGTGTGCCATAGTGCGCATCACACAGGGAGCCGGAACTGCAAGTTTCGCCTGGCTCGCAAGCCACCGAAAGGCCGGCAGCAGGGCATCGAAAGAGAGAGCGAAGCTGGCGACGATAAGCGGTCCTCGAGGGCCACGGAGCGGCCACCGAGGGGTAAAGAAGGCCCAAGCAAAAGCAGGGACCGGTCGAGTTCCTTCCCGCCATTGCCAGAACGCGGGGGCGGCCAAGATGGTGGACAAGCATCCAGTACCAACAGCTGCGCACGCGACACCAACAAAAAGGTGAGCTTGTCAAGCACGGCCTCCCAGAACAAAACCGCTCGAGCGAGGGAGTTAGCAGCGCTGGTTCAGCGACAGGGAGACTTGATTAAAAGAATGGAAAACAGAATTGCAGAGATGGAACGCGCACTTAGAAACGACCAATGGCAGGGGATACAGGCACCAGCAGTGCAAGGCCTACAGAAAGCGACGCAAGAGGCGTCTGCTCGCGTACAGGAGAGTGCAGCTATGGAAGTAGAGAATCGGGGGACAGTGAAGAGACCACTGCTGGGGGATGAGGTAGCTAACGCAAAACGATTAGCCGAAACGTCACCAGTAGACATGCCACAACCTGTTTTTAAAGTCATTAGTCTTAAGTCGGATGTAACAACACTTGCGGATAAAGTAGGCAAACAAGGGAAAAAACAGGATAGGTTGGAGGCTCGAGTCGAAAAGATCGAAGCCAGATTAGACACAATAGAGGAGCGTCTCGGCATGCTCTCCACTGAATTTAGAGATTCCCAAACCCAGGTCATGGGCATGTTTCAGCAGCTTCATACTCTATTGGAGGCAAGACTGCCTCCCGTGGGTGGCCAAGTGCCATTAGTCAACCTGGTGCCTCATCATGGCGCCTCGCCAGCAAATTGAGGTTTGGCAGTGGAACTGCATGGGCTTTCGTCAAAAAGCGGGGTAACCTGCAGTTGCACGTACAAAATCTGTACAGTAAACTAGACATAATAGCCTTACAGGAGGCTAGTGGTTCCGTAAAATTACCTGGATTTAAAGCATTTACAGCGCCAGGAATTGATTCAAGGGGTGTATCACGCGTCTTCTCAGCCGTGCTAGTCCATCGCAACATCACTGCCATTCAGCATTCCGTAGATAGCAGCAGGGAATACTATGTCCTGCTAGAGATTTTGCCTAAACGAAAGTATGAGAAGAGTCTGTTTTTACTTAATGTGTATAGTTCTCCAAAAGATAAAGGATTGGGCTTGCCACAACTCCTAATTCAAACTCCGCTTATAGTGGTAGGAGATTTCAATGCGCTTCACCCGGAGTAGGGTTATATTCGAGCCAGCCCAAAGGGCAATCGGCTTTGGCAAGTTGCCCGGGATCTGCGATGGACGCTGTGAAACAATCCACAAGATCATACGAGGATAGGCAACAGCATAAGCATGGATACCTCCCCAGACCTTACGTTTTTTAGAGGCATCAGTAATGCAAAGTGGATTAACACGGGACAAGCCCTAGGAAGTGATCACCATATCCTTTCCACGACGTTTAGGGCTGCGAAGCATAAAAACAAAGTGAGGGGGCATAGAATTACAGATTGGAACAGATTTAGGAAAAACAGAGCAGACACTGTGAACGGGAAAATTAATGACCTGGATGCATGGGTACAGGCGCTCAAGGAGGATGTAAATAATACCACGGTAGAAGTGCCAGTCGGGCAGGAGTTTACCGCTGACTCGAGACTATTACACATGTGGAAAGCGCACGCGAGTCTCTTGAGAAGGTGGAAGAAGCAAAAACACAATGGCGTCCTTCACAGAAGGACTGCCAAGTTAGAACGTGAAATCGAAAATTATACAAATGAGTTGCAAGCCAAGCAGTGGGGCCAGATTTGTGATCGCATGAATGGACAGTTTGGATGCAAAAAGACATGGCAGCTGTTAAGGCATCTTTTGGATCCGGCAGCAACAAAATCGGCGCAACGGGGACAAATCCTCGGTTAATGCATCAATATGAAGGCACAATTGGAGAGTTTATACAGGAACTCCAGAATCAGTACATAACTGATGGAGTAGACTGTTGCTTACCACACTACTCGGGGGTGAAAAACTCAGACCTAGATGAAGAGTTCACAATTGTGGAGGTGGAGTTTGCCATGGGGCAGCTGCGTACTACGTCTGCTGCAGGTCCGGATGGAGTTACTAATAAAATGCTGAGAAACCTAGATTTCAAATCGGTCGGGGCGATCACTGAATTGATAAATAAGTATTGGGTGGCCTGGGAGATTCCAGTACAATGGAAGCATGCTAGGATTATATTTATTCCGAAGCCAGGCAAGAAACTCTGCTTGGAAAACCTGCGCCCCATATCGCTGACATCATGCGTGGGCAAATTGATGGAGCAAGTGGTTCTCAACAGGCTCCAGAATTATGCAGAGGACAAGGCCATCTTTCCCCCAAATATGATAGGTTTCAGGGCCAATTTGTCCACACAGGATGTCATGATACAGTTAAAACATGATGTAGTCGATCCCGGGTATGGCACGGGCACCAAAGCTGTATTGGGGCTTGACCTGAATAAAGCTTTCGACAATGTTTCGCATGAGGCAATATTGAATAACCTATCGGAAATTGGCCCAGGGGTCAGACATTTCGCTACATCAGATCATTCTTGGAGGGTCGAACCGCAGAAATTTCAATAGGAGATATCAAATCGGACTCATTCGCGTTGGGAGGCAAAAGGACGCCGCAGGGTTCAGTTTTGTCACCGTTCCTGTTTAACATCGCCCTAATTAAAATACCGCCGAGGCTGGAGGAGATACCGTGACTCAAACACACATTTTATGCAGATGATATTACTCTATGGGTAACCAGGGGTAGTGACGCGCATCTGGAAGAAACACTACGACAGGCAGTTAATATTGTCGAAGAGTTGGCAGGGGAGGCGGGACTTTCATGCTCTCAGCCCAAGTCCGGGCTCTTTGTGGTTCGGGACAAACCCAGAGGGCTACATGCAAGACACTATATTCCGCCACCGCCGTTAGAGGTAAATGTAGGCGGTAGGCCGGTAGCTGAAGCTCAAACGATTAGAATTCTTGGCCTATATCTGCAAACTAACATGAAGAATAGGGTGGCCCTTGAAAAACTTAAGACCACGGTCAATGCTACTGTCAGGCTAATCAGAAGAATCGCTAACCGTAAGAGCGGGGTTAAAGAAAAAGAACTCTGTAAGCTGGTACAGGCGTTTGTGCTCAGCAGGATTACTTACGCGACACCTTAAATGAAGTTGGATGCCACAGAAAAAGGTAAGGTCGAGGCTATGATCCGGCAAGCTTACAAGGCAGCGCTTGGGTTGCCTAACAATGCGCCTACAGAAAGGCTGTTAAAACTAGGGGTACACAACACCCTGGATGAATTATGGGAGGCGCATCTGGTGATGCACCACGCTAGGCTTTCGACAACCAAAGCGGGCAGGATCATACTGGAAAGGATTGGCATTGGAGCAGAGGCTCCCACTGGGGACACTAAAATTCAGGTGCGGCGAGAGTTACATAAGGCCCTGTACATAAAACCTTTGCCCAAAATTATGCATCCGATTCACCATACGCAGCGCAGGCAGGCAAGAGCCAGAGCTTTACACGTTGAGTACGGCGAGTACAAAGCGGCAGTCTATACAGATGTTGCGGAATATAAGGACAAAGACGCTTTTGTGATTGTGGTGGTGAACAGGCGGGGGCGCTTGATCGCCTCTGGATCGGTCAAAACCCGCTCCTCGGAAACTGCAGAGGAAGCGGCAATAGCGCTAGCTATAACTAATTCGCAGTCAGATTTGATTTTCAGTGATTCAAAGACAGCCATCCGAAATCTGGCGAGGGGCAGAATATCGGCGACCGCCGCACGATTTCTGCATGGGGCCACGGGACGAGAAATTAGAGAAATAGAAATTGTCTGGGTACCAGCACACTCTGGGAACCCTGGGAACGAGGCGGCTCACCTGAATGCTCGAGGTTTCGTCAGCCGGGTAGGTGAGCCGCCAGTTCCGGGAGGTCCGCGAGAGATGGGCTGGTGTCCTTTCATGGCATACGAATCATTATAAACTAGAGCGGAGGTTTTATCCGCCCCCGCACAAGCGGTTGACTTAGGCGCAGGTATGCGTCTGGAGAAAACTGCAGACGCGATCTTTTCCCAACCCTTACGGTTGAACAAAATGTACCCGGAGGAGATTAAGCTGCAATGCAAAAGGTGTCAGGCTGTGGCACATATGATCACATACTTTGGGAATGTAGCATAGTGCCGCCGCCGGTGGATATTATGCGTGATCCCTCTCTTGAGCACTGGAGGCCGTGTTGACCAGCTCAGACCCAGTCGTCCAGTTAAGGGTTGTGGAGTGGGCCACACAGGTCGCCGCCAACCTTGGGTTGATGGCCATCTAACACGGAATCATCCTCAGTTGCTTTCTGACGAAATAAAGTTTTTCCATCCATCCATCCATCTTTCCGCCGCTCGCGTGCCGCCTCAGCTTCGCGGGCTCTCACTTGGGAATGCGCTTGTAGACGAGCCTGCTTTGCTTCGGCTGCAATGACCCACAATCCTTTGTTCCGACAAAGGCCGATCGTCTAGTCTATCCAGAGCTGCAGTGAGTTCTTGTCTTTGCGCGTTGAAATGGGTGCACTCACACAGAAGGTGCGCGATGGTTTCTTCGCAGCTGCAGTAAGTGCATGTGGGAGAGCTGGCCATCCCAATGAGATAAGAGTATGCGTTCGTGAAGGCCACTCCAAGCCACAGGCGGCATAGAAGAGTCTCCTCAGCTCGAGATATCCTTGGGGGAAGACGAAGCTGCAGATCGGGATCCAAGTTATGCAGGCGCGCATTTGTGAAGTCTGTTGAGTTCCACTGTGCCAGTGTGAGGTCACGTGCAAGCGAACGAAGTCCTGTAGCTGCGTCGGTTCTTGAGAACTGGATGGCTGTGTATCGGGTTTCAACCAGGTTGTACTTAAACTTACCTATATATCATTCACTTGGACTCAGACTCACGGCTTACTCAAAGCCTTAGCAAGTCCGAGTGAGTCGAATCGTGAGTCAGTTCACCGACCTTTGACTACAACTTTACATTATGCGATGAGAAGCCGCGGACGTCGGAAAAGTACAGTAAACTTTATGGATATATCTAAGCGGGTACGCCGGTAAACGCAAGCACATCAAGTGATGTGTGACATTCACTAAGTACAAGCTGTCAATTTAAAGCACGTTGACAAGTATGTTATTTCCAGACCGCACGGGTTAAAATAAAATGACATTTACTTGTCATATTCACAACACTTTAAACACACATGTTTCTTCTGCATGAACGCGACGTCTTCAGCATTATTCTTCGGACTTCCTTCCTTACGGCTGACACACATTGTAAAGCTGATTAGGCTTTAGGATGTAAGCAATTATGTTTCGTAGGTAGCTACATGAGGGCATCCAAAGCGTAGTCAGAGGGTGGTCTACTGTCTAACCGGTGCAGCGTCAGGCTGCTGTGTCAAGAAGAGTCAGGTTGTTTGGGAATAAGCAGCTGATAGGTATATATCTTACACAGCCCATGTACCGTTCTGTTACATTGAGACTATTTCAAATAAAATTTACGCTAACTCTGCAATCTCACCTACGTCACCAATCATTGATGCATCCAAACAGTTGTCTTGTTTTGTTTGTTTGTTTGTTCGATTAGGTTATTCCTACATAGGCGCGATATGCCAAGAAAACAAAGTAGCCATGGCAGAAGACCGTCCGAGAGCCTTCATCAACGTTCAAACGGTTGCCCATGAAATCGGACACAGGTAAGTGCGTTTCATCCCGCACGCAATAAAAGTGGAGTCAGGTGTCAATCTGCTTTGCCTGGATTCACCAGTTTGCTTTTGAGCGAATTTCACGTGATTACGAAGTTGAAGTCAATGAATAAATAATGCATGTACTTATTCACATCTTCAAAATTAGCATAAGCTCTATTTTCTTCTCCTTGTTCTGGTAAATAAAGTAACACTTTATACCTTCGTTCCCCTAGTCTTGGCTGTGCGCACGACGGAGAACCAGCTATACCGCAAATAGAAGGTCACATAAGCTCAAAAACCTGTCCTCCGAGTGACGGCTACATCATGAGCTACTCATGGAAAGGTGAAAATAAGTACCGTTTTTCGAACTGCTGCCTACAAAACATCGGAAATCTGGTCAAGTAAGTGCACGTTGGAGCTCCGCACCCCCAAGAAAGATTGTACAGAATGATTTTCAATATGGACGCTGTAGGTACCAGTTGTAGGTACGGGGGCACGTCCATCCACTGGCTACACCCCTGGTGATATAGTTCACAGTTGGCATTTTTGGGCGGATTAACAACGCGCTACGCAGCTTTGGCATGTTCTTCAGGCTGTCATCAATGCAGGCTTTGCCTATAAGACGCGCATAAAGGTTATGGCGTCATAGGCTCTACAACCCTCCAGAAAAAGAGCGTTTATTCTTTCTTGCATACCAGACACTGAATACGAGACTGGAACCTCTTACCTCAGAAATGCGCTCTTGCGTCCGATAATCGTGAAATTCATTCCCAACTATGTTTATATTTACATGGGTGCTGATAATGTGTGTGTAATCATAATTTTTAGCTCCCAGTTACTTTTGAGAAAGTTAACCTAATTCTTGGTTGTTTGTTTGTTGTCACATCATTCAGCCTGGTGCTAACGTTGCTTTCTGTATTTTATTGCTGGTTACTGTGAAAAATGTAACACGTGTCAGAGAATCCAGCTGCTCTCTCTTTTGATAAAGGCTTTCGAGGCAACGCATATTCTGTGATACCCCTGTCACACGGCCACCACCAAACCTTGTTGAACTCCGTCCAGGTAAACCTCCCCTAGGGAGCTCAATGTAGATAATGTTGTGGCAGTGTCCCACGGCAACGATTCGAGGGGCTCAGCCAGCACTGTTTTATTTTCCTAGAAGCATCCTAATTTTATATCTAGGTGCTTTTTCTTTTGTGAATTTTCTTTATGCAGTTTTTACAAAAACACGCTGTTAAATAGGTCTGAAGTGATCAAAGGATTGAAATTTATTTGAAATAACGCATTTGCAAATCGTAGCGACGCTGGTAGCGACGCTGGCCACCTTGTGCCAAACGCCATGTTTGTTTACAATTGCACCGCGCTCGACTAGTTGTTCGTTACGAAAGTTGTGTTTTCTTGCCTCGTGAGCGTCGGCGTTGTGAGGGTAGAGGGATGCAGCGTAGGAGAGGAGAGAGAGGAAATAAGGATTCTTATGCGCAATGGTACTTTTAACGCCGCTGTAAGAGATGCCTAGGGGAGAGAGCGGGAGACCGAGCGTAGGCGAGCGGGCGCTGCCTGCGTCGGTACTGCAAGGTAAAAAAGGGGGGAGCGTATAAGTGGGGGAGCGCCGAGCATGCGCTGTAAGGGTGATCACGACGCACATTGGATTGAGCTCGTTTATAAGACGCTTCGCATCTAAATGTCAAAGCGGAAAGGGGGTAGGGGTGGAGGTATTTGAACAATGCCACCTAAGACACTAAGTGGTCTTTGAACATCTTCTGTATACTGTGCAGTGTAGATGATGCAGCGCTGTCGACGACAACAACCACGCTCACGGACAAAATATTCCAGCCATACGCGAGGCATGGTGTGAGATCAGCTGCACTTTGGCGGGCGCGTCAATATATATATATTGAAAAAGGGTTTATTGGCGACTGTTGGAACGGTGGTCCTACGAAGAAACACGATCGTGCAAGAGCAACGGTCAAGCAGATGCCGGCGATGATCAGCACGAGCCGAGCGAGCGAAGCCCAGCACCCAGTACCCAAGCGGTGGCGATGTTGCTTGCCAACGATGCTCTTTCTTCTTCACAATTTGCCCCCGCCGAAAAAGAGCCATCCTAGCGACCTAAGAGTCTGGAGGCAGAGGGCTATGATATGGCTTAAGGCGGGCGACGTGGACGATGTCACGTCCACGCCGGCGCATGTCGTCAGATGGGGAAAGTGGCTCGATGAGAAAATTCACCGGCGAGGTTTGCTCCAAAACGCGGTATGGGCCCTCGTACTTTGGAACGAGTTTTGAGGAAATGCCGGGGGTTTGGTAAGGAACAGCCAGTCATACAAGTGATCCCGGGGAATAGCTGGGGCTTTGTGAAGAGTCGGCGTTGTTTTCTTTCTGGCGCTGTTGTTCTTGTGACGTAAAGGTGCGTGCGAGTTCACGGCACTCTTCCAAATTTCGGGCAACTTCGGACACAGATGGGCATTCGGATGCATCAGGACGGTAGGGAAGGAGAGTATCGATGGTGTGGGAGGGTTCGCGTCCATAAAGAAGAAAGAAAGGTGAAAATCCAGTGGTAGACTGTGCCGCGGTGTTATATGCGAACGTGATGAATGGAAGAATGCGATCCCAGTTAGTATGATCGGATGTCACATACATGGCGAGCATATCGCCAAGGGTGCGGTTAAATCTTTCCGTGAGCCCGTTAGTCTGCGGGTGGTATGCCGTGGTCTTGCGATGAACAACATGGCATTCAGAAAGCAGAGACGTGACGACTTCTGATAGGAAGGCTCGACCTCGGTCGCTTAGTAGTTCTCGAGGTGCACCATGTCGTAGTATGAAGCGATGAAGGATGAAGGATGCTACGTCCCGCGCAGTGGCACTTGGAAGGGCGGCGGTCTCAGCGTAGCGTGTTAAATGGTCCACAGCGACTATGATCCACCGATTTTCATCTGATGTTGTCGGTAGAGGGCCATAGAGATCAATTCCGATCCGATCGAAAGGCTTGGCAGGGCACGGAAGCGGTTGAAGCGCACCGGACGAGCGGAAAGGCGGTGATTTGCGGCGTTAACAGTCAGGACAGCCCATAACGAATTTTCGAACGAAATTATACATTCCGCGCCAGTAGAAGCAATGGCGAATGCGTTCGTAAGTTTTGAAAACTCCGGCATGACCACATTGGGGATCGTCGTGAAAGGAGGCGCAGATTTGTGATAGCAAGCTGCGCGGAACGACCAAGAGCCACTTACGACCTTCGGGGGCGTAGTTGCGTCGGTGTAGCAGCCGATCACGAATGGCGAAATGAGCAGCTTGACGTCGGAGAGATCGTGGTACCGCAGTGGTTGACGATCCAGAAAGACAGTTAAAAAGGGAAGCGATCCACGGGTCCTTGTGTTGTTCACTGGTAAAGGAGTCGAGGTCGAGAGATGCGATGGAGTTGGTACCAGTGGTTCCACAGGCCGAGTCGGGAGGTAAAGGCGAACGCGACAGGGCATCGGCGTCAGAATGCTTGCGTCCGCTGCGATAGATGACACGAATGTCGTACTCCTGGATTTGCAGTGCCCACCGAGCTAGGTGGCCAGAAGGGTCTTTCAATGTGGCGAGCCAACAAAGTGCATGGTGGTCCGTTACCAGGTCGAATGGGCGACCGTACAAATAAGGGCGGAACTTGCGAAGCGCCCACACTAGCGCCAAGCACTCTTTTTCAGTGACGCTGTAATTGGCCTCAGCTTTAGTAAGTGTGCGACTCGCATAAGCGACGACGTATTCGGAGTAGCCCGGCTTGCGTTGGGCGAGGACGGCGCCTAGACCAACCCCACTAGCGTCTGTGTGAACTTCCGTTGCAGCTGTTGGGTCGAAATGCCGAAGAATTGGAGGAAATGTTAGCAGACTACGGAGCGTGGCAAACGCGACGTCGCAGTCAGAAGACCAGGATGAAAGGTCTGCATCACCGCGTAGGAGGTTGGTCAGTGGTGACATGATCGATGCAAAATTTCGCACGAAGCGCCGGAAGTACGAGCATAGTCCGACAAAACTGCGTAATTCTTTCAGTGTAGTAGGTTTCGGGAACTCAGCGACTGCTCGCAGTTTTGCAGGGTCGGGTCGAACACCATGCTTGGAGACGATGTGCCCTAAGATGGACAGCTCTCGCGCGGCGAAGCGGCACTTTTTAAGGCTCAGTTGGAGCCCAGCGTTGGTTAAACACGTCAGAACCAGTTGGAGCCGAAGCAGATGCGTAGAAAAATCGGGAGAGAAAACGACAATGTCACCGAGGTAGCATAGACACACAGACCACTTCAGTCCACGCAGTGTGTTGTCCATGAGTCGTTCAAACGTGGCAGGAGCATTACAAAGACCAAATGGCATTACGTTAAATTCGTACAGGCCATCTGGTGTAATGAACGCAGTTTTCTGGCGATCAGCTTCTGCCATAGGAACCTGCCAGTATCCAGATCGTAAGTCTAAGGAGGAGAAGAATTTGGCTCCTTGGAGGCTGTCAAGGGCGTCGTCTATGCGCGGTAAAGGATATACGTCTTTCCGCGTCACCTTGTTTAATCGCCGGTAGCCGACGCAAAATCGAATCGATCCATCTTTCTTTCGAACTAGAACGACAGGAGATGCCCAAGGACTGTGCGATGGTCGAATAACGCGACGGCGTAGCATCTCTTCGACCTGGTCGTTGATGACGTGACGTTCTGCAGCAGAGACACGGTACGGTCTTTGACGCAATGGCTGGTGCGAACCGGTGTCAATGTAGTGGTGCACTGCGGAAGTCCGACCCAATTGCAGCTGAGAAACGTCGAATGAATTCGCGAAGTGCTGGAGGAGATTAAGAATCTCGGCGCGTTCATGGGCACTTAAGGTGTCGGCGATGGAACTCGAGAAGGTGTCACTCGATGAGCATTCCAGTGGGGAAAGGGCATGAAGTTCGGTCGAGGCGCTACTGCACGATTCGTCTGGCATGTTAAGGAATAAAGAGGAATCGAGGTACTCCACTCGACCGAGACATTCGCCGGCAAGTAGCGTAAGCGGTGCAGAAAGGGGGTTGTGGACGAAAATATTGCTTCGGCCCGCAATGACGTCGAGTGCAGCGAAAGGCAAGGAAACGGCTCTGCGGCTCATGAAAATGTCGGAAGGTGCAAAACATTACTGTAGCATTATTATAGTCATCGCAGCAAACCGGGACAACGGTAAGAGAGGCTGGCGGAATTTCAGTGTCCTCACGCACGACAAGTTTTGGCGACCGCTCAAGGGTTTCGTGCAAAGTTTCGTCACACAGGTGCGAAAATTGAACTTCAGCGCGTGCGCAGTCGATGATGGCATGATGATTTGACAGAAAGTCCCACCCGAGAATAACGTCATGCGAGCACACCGAAAGGATGATGAACTCGACAACGTACATAGAGCCTTGGATGAATATGCGGGCCGTACAGGTGCCGAGAGGTCGAACTTGTTGTGCGCTAGCTGTACGAAGCGATAGTCCAGAGAGCGGCGTGGTCACTTTGCGTAGGGAGCGGCAGAGCTGGGCGGCTATAACAGAAACGCAGCACCTGTGTCGACGAGGGTAAAGGTAGAAACACCATCGACAGATATAGCGACGACGTTAGCTGGTGAAGTGCGAGGACTTGAGCATTTCGACGACGGCGCAGTTCTTGCCTCTGGAACTGCGGCGTTCAGTTTTCCCGGTTGGAGGAAGCGGGTCTAGGACGCATTGGGGACAGTGATCGCCTGCGAGGAGATGGGGAGCGGGGAGAGTGAGTTTGAAGCTGGGGTGACCGAGACTCAGGAAGGTTAGTGTATCCATACTGCGGTGAGGGATAGGGAGCAGGTATGTGCATGGGCTGTGGGTCATACGGTAACGGCCGAGTAGCGTCGTGGAGTGGTTGGAAGCGACGGCGACAATATCGTGCCACGTGTCCTGGAGTACCGCAGGCGTAGCAGATCGGTCGATTGTCAGGAGTGCGCCAGGAATTGCTGACTCGTGGTGCGGCCCAAGGTGTCGAAAAAGGGGCGGAGTGGTGAGCGACTGAAGACATGGGTGGCAAATGCTGCTGGCGGGGTCTGCTACGTACCACCTGGGCATACGTAAGAGGCACGGCCACGGGCTGCATAGCCGGCGCTTGGGCAACAGGCATGGCCACAGGCAGCTGGTGGGCAGTGACGGGAACAGCCTGAGCTACCTCTTCGGCAATAACGTCGCGGAGTGGTGAGGGCAGACGAGAGGACGGCGGCTGCTGCGTGAAGGGAATCAACGACAGTTGCCGAGCTACTTCTTCACGCACGAAGTCTTTAATCTCTTGCAGGGTTGGTGAGTGGTCGGGAACAGAAGTGAGACTGGAGAGCAAGTCGGCGTGTGAGGAAAATGGCCGAGTCAGGGTGCGCTGCTTGCTCAACTCGTCGAGACTTTGACACAAAGTGACAAGTTCCGCAACGGTGGCAGGATTACGGGCCAGAAGCAGCTGATATGCACCGTCATTTATCCCTTTGAGGATGTGTTGAATCTTCTCCGACTCGGGCATGGCGTTGTTCACGCGGTTGCAAAGACCAATAATGTCTTCGATATAACTGGTGAACTATTCAGATGGCTTCTGTGCGCGAGTCCGCAAGCGTTGTTCGGCTCTGGACTTGCGGACAGCGGGTCGGCCGAAAACGTCAGCAAACGACGTTTTGAAGATGGACCACGTCGTAATGTCGTTTTTGTGGTTGTTATACCACATTTCGGCCACGTCAGTGAGGTAAAAGATGACGTTAGTCAATTTGTCCGCGTCATCCCACTTGTTGTTTGCGCTCACCAGTTCGTAGTTAGCGAACCAGTCTTCCACGTCGGTCTCATCAGCTCCGCTAAAGACCTTGGGCTCTCGCAAACGAAGAACGCCGGGGTTGCTGGGGGATGAAGTGGAAGAGCCAGGTTGCGCGTTGTTGGTAGCCATGATGGGAGGTAGCGTTCGGTTGCGCAGCTCCAGGTTCAGGCGACGGCGAATGGCAGCACCCAGGTTCAGGCGACGGGGAATGTCAGCACCCTCCACCAATTGAAAAAGGGTTTATTGGCGACTGTTGGAACGGTGGTCCTACGAAGAAACACGATCGTGCAAGAGCAACGGTCAAGCAGATGCCGGCGATGATCAGCACGAGCCGAGCGAGTGAAGCCCAGCACCCAGTACCCAAGCGGTGGCGATGTTGCTTGCCAACGATGCTCTTTGTTCTTCACACTATATATATATACATATATATATATATATATATATATATATATATATATATATGTGTGTGTGTGTGTGTGTGTGTGTGTGTGTGTGTGTGTGTGTGTGTGTGTGTGTGTGTGTGTGTGTGTGTGCGTGTGTGTGTGTGTGTGTGTGTGTGTGTGTGCATTTGTGTGTGTGGGTGTGTGTGTGTGTGTGTGCGTGTGTGTGCAGGGGGGAGGTGAAGAATTGCATTGCACGTTATGAATGAGTACAGCAACGAAACAACGTTTAATATTGGCAAAATGTATTACCGTTCTCAATGCGGCAATTTAGTGCTCGAAATTATTTTCTGACCCACAGACTACTGGGGACGAGAGTATCTCATTCCGCTGCAAAGGGAGATCACTGAACTTCATTTGCGAAATGCTCCGTTCCCATTCGGCTGCGTAGGGGTGGCCGTGTGACACGGACCAGATTTTCCTTGTCGTAATGACGTTAAATAGTGTGCGCGCGTTCCGAGGCATAAAAACTCAATCACCTAAATTTCCATTCTAACGCTTTGTCGCCAAGCGTTACCGGTCACTCTTTTGCTCCTCAAAAAGTTCATGAATTCTCGATGTGAACCGATGTACAAAATGGTTTGACAGGATTTACTGCACAGTTTCGCCGTGCAGGACAAAAAAATTCTCTTCCGTTCTATTCCCCGATGCAAAAGCGACAAAAGTTTCATTTGTTAGAATCCGTCTATGTAGTGTTACCTAAAACACTACCACCACTGAATTACTATTTCTGATCTTTCGCTGGCTTAGTGGTTTGTTTGTTGACAGCGGAGTGGTTCTAAGATGTGCCTCACCCTTCTCCATGTCTATCTGGTGTCACACGCTTTACTTTACCATAGCAGGAAAGAATAAAGCAAAAAACGAAATTATGATGATCAAAGGAGACAAGCTGTCTTAATGTATCCTCAAACGCACACACACTCATCAGTGGCGTAGCCAGGGTTGGCACGCCGACACTGGGCCCGTGCCCCCTCCACGTAAATGACCATTTAATGAAGGTGCCCCCTCCCCCAATCTAAGAGGTGCCCCTTTTCCCCAAAAAAATTTCTGCCTACGACCCTTATATTCATGCACCGCCATCCGACGTTTTTCACACGTTGAATCGCCCTAGTTATTTTTTGTATTTTTAAGCTGTACGGGCAGTTTTATGCACTTTGTTTGTTTGTTTTTGTTTATGGCAACTATAGCTCTCATGCCCTCCATTCATTCTAGGTCGTAACAAGGCCGAAGAGATACATACGTCACTCCCGCAGGACATTCTTTTTCTGGAGAGGCAGGCACTTAAATGTAGCTCGCCATGTGACCGACCAATGCATTTAGTCCAGTCGCATCATCCCTCTTTATAAGGATTTTTTAAAAAATACATATCTGTGCATGTAAGTTTTTCTTATTAGCCCTCATAGTCAAAACAGGCAAATGTATAGCTCCTTCAAAATTTTTTTTCAAATTTTGCACGTTATACAAACGCAAGCACGAACATACATGGAAGGTGGTTAGTAAAAACCTTAGTTGTTAAGACTCCCCCCCCCCCCTACCACCAAAGAAAAAGGAAAAAAAATTCTGATGCACCCTTTGTTGTCCCATACACCGCCGTTTAAGGAGACCGAGAGATTGCGTATATTTTTCTCATCACGAAAAGAATGAATACGACAGAGTTTGGGGCACAGGAAAGTGTTACAAGACAAACATAGCATTTCGCACACACGGAACCTTTTCTTACACCTTTTTCTTGTGTTTCAGCCAGCAGCCACGCTGGCGTTGCTTAATTGCAGTGAAAGCAAAGAAACGCATATCAAATAATAAGGACCTTCCTGGTATGCGTACGACGCTAGAGCATTTCTGCCAGAAAACATACCTTTTTGATCATGATGCGTTCTATGATAAGGTAAAATCCATGTTTTTATAGCTCTATTCTCTATCTATATGTAACACAGAGAGTTTTCTTTTTCTTTAATCGCCTCTCATAGGCAGCTTAGTTGCAGTCGCTTATTTCAATTACTTTAAGGTGTGGACAATACTTTTAGAATGAGTGTCAATACATGATCGGCTATATAACGAAGTTCACCGTTGACCTTTTCATTATTACTTGTACAGTAGCAGGTAACTCAATTTAAATGTGGCTCGTGAATTTGCAAGCCGTATCCACATTTTCTTAAAATTTCAGAATGGCGCCGGTATTGAGGTATTTATTTCCAAAGTTTGAGTTTTGTATTCTATGTGTTTTTAGTAAATAAGATCGTGTACGTTAACAACTTTCGCTTTCAAGAGCTCACGCAAATAATGCATGGGTTTTTTACCTTTTAATTAAATAAACAGAGACATATATGCTAATATGGCAGCTTCATCTACGCAATCTATTCCACACAATACACTTATTGTTACCACTTTATTATTTATTAAGGCTTACGGCGTACAAGACTGCAAGGTTCGGTGCCAAAATAAGACCAACCGCTTCACGGTCAGCGCTATCGACGGCACACCTTGCGAAGAGAATACAAGTCCGAAAAAGGTATTTCACAGCCATCGCTTTTGGGTCTAAAATGGGAGTGCATGGTGTACACGGAGAATCATTTGAATAATGGCCTTTACTTCATGTTGCATGCTCAGTTGTCACTCTTTGCCTACATTTTTTTCTCTCTCTCACTACAAGTGATCCCTAATCTACATTTCACCGGTGCACAAGGGTCGCCGATAATTCATGGAGGACAAACACTGCGTTAAATATTTAAAACATGGCGCTTTACGGTCCACGTTATATTATAAATTGTGCCAAATATTTAAAAATATTGTATGAGTTCTGACTAGCTCACACCATTTGATGGGCGCGTAAATGTATAAGCGCAAGAGAGAAAGAGAAACAACGACGGTTATGGGTGGAGGGGGGGGGGGGGGAGGCTTCGACTTTTGCCTATCTTCCTAAATATCAGCCGGAATCCTTCGGGAGTCGGCGGCAGCCAGGGCGAGACTAATATACGTTGTTGTTCGGCATCGTGGCTGCGTAATAAGGCCTCTTAGAATTTGGCGTTTCTGTTTGGATGAGTTTCCCGTCGTTGCATTCCGTCACACAGGCGCCGAACCAAGTTAGTTGGTTATTCATGCGCTCATCTGTCTGTGTGTTCGTCCACCGTTTTTCTTTTGTTTTTCTGCGCACTGTTATTTCGCGTGCATTTCGTCCTCGGCGATATTTCAACGCCCTGCAGGGATCAAACCTCGAACCTTGAGCTCGGCAGGGATTGTGCGCATTGTGACAACATAACTTTCGTTCGGGGATCTATGTTGAATTGTTTTTTCGGGGCGGAGGATACTGTGGAGAGGGGGACCTCTCTGATCGAAAGCGAAGGCCGGGCAGGCATACGGTCATTTCGCGCTATGTATGCATGGCGAAATAAAATTGGCGGGGGAAGGGGGTGGGTTCACCTTGAGTGTCACTCGCTAGCTACGCCAATGTTTTCGGTGACAGTATCGCTATGGATGACAAAGACCCCGCGCGTCCAATAACTGAAGCGATGAAGCGATGGGCAATGACTTGCCCATCTTTCCATCCGGCCGAACAGCGAGCGCTCACTGAAAACGATATCATGGCGAAATGCGATCGTCCCGCAATATGGACCCAGCACTACGCCATTGTCGCTAAGATACGAGCGCGACTGGTCATATACCTGCAGATGTTGTAGAGTCACCGGGAGGCGAAAGCCCCCCATCTAACGTGAAAAAAAAATTATTTGCTCATTTTGATAATAACATTAGGAGTTTCACGTGCGAAAACGGCGGTATAAGACACTCCGTAGATAAGGCCTCCGGAAGTTTTAAGCTACCCGGGGTTCTTTAAGGTGCACCATTAAAGCACACGGGCCTCTAACAATTCGCTTCATCGAAGCTCGACCGACTTCCGAGAAGGCTGACCGCAGAAACGCTGCCACTGCATTTCTTTGTTCACTGCAGTGCGTTCTCCGTGCGTCATTTACTGAAATATAATAAATAATAATATTGCTTATTTTCAACATGTTACAACTCAAAATGTTACATACCAAAGGATGATACGGCTAAAGGCAGATTAACTGCCTGACAATGGCCCTACCCCACAAGCACCTAAGTGATCATAAACACTAAGCGGAATGACTAAGAGAAAAAGAAAAAAAAAGATGACACAATGTCTGCCTGATCTGTGCTTTGTCTTTGATTCAAGCCGGTTATTTGTTTAAAAATTGTGTTCTTTTCTGTTTCATCAGCACTGCATTCTCGGAAAATGCATTGAAATCAAGAAATCATAACTATGGAGCTTTATTCTTTATGTATCAAGTTGTTTGGCTACCACAATAGGTTCATCAGATTGTTGAATAAAAGTGGTCATTTATTTTACCAAACGAACGGCTGTCCGCGCGTACGTTCTGTACATTAGAGCGTGAGTGCGCGAGACCTAAACGAAGAATATATCGCTCCTAATCTGCAGCAGCGACAACAGGCGTGTAGTACACGCGCGCCATCTGCTTACATTCAACTGCGAGTAGCGTTTCACATATCATACGGCCTGCCTGTTTCTAACCAAGCACTGCGACACCATGCACAAAATAAATGCGTTCCTGTCACTGCGAGTTTCATACTCCTGCAAAAGCTCACACGAGAAGCATATATAGAGAGGACTTGATGCCGACATGATAGAGGTAGACCACGCTAGTAAGCGTTAAATGCTGCCAATTTCGCTTCTAGTAAAATCACCAAGCTAAAAAGTCAAATTTTAAATGCTATTTCAGAGATTATCACACGATGAGCTCGAACATATTTAAACATAATAGTGTTATTACGCTGCAAGCTCTCAAATGTAACTAGCTGTAAATTCCAGCACATAGAGTCACTCCTTTCGTTGGAATCGCAAGTTCTGCTGATGTGTTCCCGCGCGGTACTGAGGGCAGAATACTGCGAGGCGTATATTCAGGCCTTTTTTTTTTATTGTGGGGTTCTTGTAATATTCCAAATTGTATAAATAATCAAATATATCCACTAAAATGGTGTACTGCATGCGATGTTTATAATTTCAGTTCAGACGTACAGTCAGCACCAAAAGTTTGGGGACCGCGATACATATGATAAAGCTTATTGATCCTGCTGGCTCGACAGACAACCTTGAACGTACATTTCCTACCTCTTCTATAACACGGTCAAAATATGAACTGTACAGTTTGGCTGAATGCAGTCACAAATCGCTGCGCAATTCAAAGCCCTTTCAGATCTGGTGGTCTATAAGTCTTTGACGCAACAAGTAGATAAATTCTAATCGAAGTATATGTTATCAAAGCGACACCACCAATGGCGAACAAGTTAAGCGACGTGCTGCTGTCCATGTAAGATGTCTTAGCAAAAGTTTGCGCTCAACTGTCTATCAGAAAAAAGCAAAAAAAAAAAGAAAAAAGAGATCCGGGTGACCGCACCACGCCTGATATGTTGGTGTCGGATGCTTCGCCGACCCTCGCCCTGCAGTAAGGATTACGTGGCGTACGCTTTGGTAGAACCACAAGAATAACTGGCTCTGCTGTCGCAATTCATGTGATTCATATCCTACTTGACTGCATCCTACTCAGTGAAAGAAGGATCGCTACAGTTGTAAGCGTAACAAAACAGATTTGTTGTACTGATCTTTCATTGGGGCAGTTGCTTCGCTGACAAATGAGAGTTAAAACGATGGCTCCAGCTGCATCCTCTGTTCAACCATTTGTCATCACATTGAGCATTCATTTCCATCGGCACTTCTCTCGTTTGTTTCTTTATATCATGGCTTCCTAGATCACGCACCGGCAGGTTTCTGCCGGTGCGCAATCTTGGAGGCCACGTTTATTACTGTAAAACAACGCATAGTCAGCAATCCATTATAGCAACCCACAAAAGCTCTCTCAAAGGTGTTTTTATTAAAAGTATCTGACACGCATATCTTTTCCTATGTATTTTTGGCTATATATGACATAAGGATTTAGGTTAGAAGATGACAGGGTCACTTCACATTTTATCTTGTTTTACTCAGCATGGACTCTGAGAAGTTGAGTATACCGTCTCATCACGGTGCCTGGGGTACGATGCGCTAGCCAGTGGCAAGGCTCAGTATTTAGTGACACACAGTACATTCATATTCTGTAAACGTAGACTGCGCTAGATACGAGACACAAGAATAAAGGGAGACAGAACAAACGCAGGCTAAAAACTGTGTTACTGAAACCACTACGTTCCCTTCTTAAACAACGCGTGTGCGCAATGATCGCCATGAACACGTGAATAATATGCACTGCCCCACCAATACTCTTATATATCTACATTACGAGATCATGTTCTTTCTAGGTAAATACACAGGTGTTATCTCTGACGCACTTGTCCAGGCCAGATATGTGAAGTTTAACGTCCCAAAACCACCATATATGATTATGAGAGACGCCGTAGTGGAGGGCTCCGGAAATTTCGACCACCTGGGGTTCTTCAACGTGCACCCATATCTGAGCACACGAGCCTACAGCATTTTCGCCTCCATCGAAAATGCAGCCGCCGCAGCCGGAATTCGATCCCGTGACCTGCGGGTCAGCAGCCGAGTACCTTAGCCACTAGACGGTGGCGGGGCTGTCCGGGCCATGTCTTGCTATCCAAGAGGCTTCTACGGTTTCGCGTTCCCTTTGTTCTTAGCTCGTCCGAGCACAATTGGTGCTACTAAAGGTGAGATCGCACTTCTGCGCACATGCGCCACAATGAACAGGCAGGTGCTTACCACTGTTATCTCCTAGTGCATTACAATGCTTCAATACACGCTTGTTATTATATCTGCAGTTCTGCCCCACATAAATCATTCCGAAGGTCAGGGGGAATTCATAGACCCCTTCGTCCCTACACGGTGGATACGCAATATATGTGCTTTGCATCCATCGTCCTTTTATTTGTTTGTGTCAGAAGTGGCACATGAACGTGACAAGTTGCAAGGCGCAGAAAAACATCATGTGAACCCCGAATCTTCCCGCCTCTGTCTTTATGCCATGCGACACCTTGTGTATATAGGGCATCACTTCAATTTTCCGCCTGTCACTCTTTTCTGGGTTTTTTTTTTTTCATTTTCAATGACAGCAGTGGTATGATGGCATATGACCTTCACTAATATAGGGTCATGCGTGGCGCCGTGGTACTTGCTTATATATATTTAGCCGAGTTGTACTGCTCGTTACCTGAGTACTTACCGTTGGTTGCAGCGCTCGTGTTCGTAGATACGCGGACGACCTTTTACTATTCGTAAATACTGACGCCGGGGATGACGTTTAGGAGGTATCGAAGCGTGTTGTTTATTCTTTTAAATCCACAGGAACCATAGAGATTGAATTTTGCCTTTGAATGGCCTGACAATGCTTATTCGCAGTTTTCGTACGTAAATTTGGTTTTTAATGATAGTAAACGCCTGTTCTGGACGTACTGGCTACTTATAAGGACTTTTGCCTTTTTTTTTTCCCCTCCCACTCGAAGTTTGTGAACAGAAGCAAAGCGGTGGCCGTCTTTGACCGAGTCATCTTAGGGTCACCTTTGACCAAGTCATGTCTTCATAACGTCAGAGATAAATTTTCTTTCCTAAACCGAATCGTCTCCGTAGTGCAGGTTTCTCGCACGCGCTACTTCAGGCTGTTTTAGCAGAATCATTATTGAAGGTCGTATGCCATCATACCACTGCCGCCGACGAAAACGAAAAAGAAACAGAAAATATTGACAGGCGGAAGTTTCAAGCCGTATATCCACAAGGCGTCGCAAGGCGTGAAGAAGGTGGCGGGAAGATTCGGGGTCGACATGGTTTTTTTTTTTTTTTTTTTTTGCAACGTCTAGCAAGTTGTAGCGTTCGCGTGCCATTTCTTGCACAAGCAAAGAAAATAGTGATGAATGTGGCGTAAAGCACAGATGCGCGCATGTACCACTCATGTAGCGCTGAAGTGGTATAAAACTTCCTCCTGGCCTGCAGATTGGTTTAAGTGGGGCAGACGGGAAAGTGTATTTACTAAAATTTAATGAATCATTCTAATTCACTAGGAGATGACTGTAGGAAGCACTTGCCTGTCCATTGTGGTAAATGGGCGCAGGAGTGCAAGCCCACCTTTAGTAGCAAGAAGGTGCTAGGGTGAGCTACGAGCCAAAGGGAATGTGAAACCCTACAGGAACCCTTGGATAGCTAGACATGGCGTAGACAAATACGTCAGCGATACATTTGTGTGCATTTCCTGCAAAAAGCGTGATTTCGTAATATAGATGGGAGTCTCGATGCGGTAGTGCACTTTCGTCAAGTGGTCATCACGGTCATTGCGTTCACGCATTGTTTCAGAGGGACAATTTGTGATTTCATTAACTCAGTTGTTAGTGTGCGTTAGTTCTGTCTCCTTCTGTTTTTGTGTTTTGTCTCTAACGCAGTTTAAGTTCACAAGATTTGTCTTACCAACTAGCACCCCAGCAAGCGCTTCTACAGTACAAACACACAAACAATCACAGCACTGCTTAAATCGGAGAAATACCTTGTAAAATATAGGCAAATCACAGCGAAAGCTTCAGACACTCGACCAGCCAAAGCGAGCTATCAAAATAGAACACAGCAATTACAACTTCTCCTAGTCAACTACAACAATCAGAGCCACCGAACTTGAGCGTAGTTTGGCAATTCGTACAGAGATACCGGGCATTCCGAGTAGCCGGCGTCGCACTCGCCAACAGTTCGACCCCGCTTGGACGCCTTGTAGTAATCGTCTAAAATAGATAAGTTGTGATGGTCCTTGGGTATCCTGCAAACAAAAACGAAATTTTCGTCGATCAACGGCCATGCATTTGTTTATCAAGACATTTTTTATGGTGAAGGGTTTCGCACTATGCCGTATCAAATTTTGCCAATCTCGTAAAATTTAAATATTCTAATAAAGATAGCTCGAAACGGCCAAGCCAGTACTGCCACACAAAGATATTCAAGTGGAGTCTATTTGTATCGACGTTCTTGTCATAGACATGCATAACTCTGACCCTCTATAAAGTAGTCTACAAGGAAAACGCAATTTCGCTTTGGGAAGAGCTATCACATAGTACGGAGATTTTATATGAATTATTGCGCGTATTTACAGTGTCTATACCTAAGATTTTTCATTTTAGTGCTGTCTTTTACATGCCAAATACCTGGCAACATTCGTATTCACTCATAACCGTCTCTGTCTTAAGCTTTTTTTTTTCTTCTGCACTAATTTGTTCTGTTCAAGGTATGGCTGAAGCAACAGCCCGTGTGATACAACAAACTTGAGCATGACGCTGAAAATCGTGATGACAGAAAGCCTCGGTCAAGGGACTTACGTGAACAGCGCCTCTACAACGTCTCCCAGCAGGCCCGGAATCCTGGGCATGGAGGCCACTTCGCAGAGTGACCTCTTGACGCATGCCTCGCCGTCCAGTCCAAAACGCTGCAGGAACCAGGCGAGACCCCGATACAGATTCCACCGGTCGTGTCCGGGCTCCAGCGAGCGCATGTTGACCATCAGTTTTCCCGGGTCCGGCACGACGACCTCAAAGGGTATCCCAACGCCGATGTTCGAGCCGATCAGTGGTGTTCCCGTCGGAACCAGTGTCTTCAGCGCAGGCATGACTGTCACTGAGCCGAAAAATGGAAACGTGTGCTCACTCGATCCGGGGTGCCAAAGTAGTAGAGAGATACAGAGAAGCAGCATCTTTCAGGGGGCACGGTTACCGACGTTCTGGCCCACTTAGTGATCTTGCGGTGGCCACTTCTGGTACCACGTCTGCAATGGTGAAACGTTTCAGTCTCCAGTGACACAGAGGTTGTAACCTTTAGAATCTACAATGTTAGGACTGGTTCTGTCTGATCAGGAGAGCAGCACTACAAAACATATATTCATTTGTATCTTGTTGACAACCCAGCCGGCGAGACCACTTGGGCTTCGACAAATGACAAAGCATCTTTCCAGGCGTAATTATCGTTTCCAGCAGAACTCTGAGCATCGTGACCAAAAAATCGGAATACTGCTGAAGCACCAGCCTGTGTAGACATTGCACACAAAACCGATAACTACATTACTTGCTGGTGCGCCACCACAATGTGCCACGTATACAGGTTTAACGAATAGTCAGTTAACGTAAATTTACAGTGAAATGAACGCAACCACATGACCTTTAGTTCTTTTGGGACGTAAATTTTCAGATATTATAAATACCTTTAGTTCCACAAGGGTAGGCTTTATGCTGGCTCAAATTACGAGGTTTCAACTGTTACCAACTCCATGTCATGCCGAAATGTCATGTCGATAGACGAAATGCCTAGAAAATGCAATGCCCACAATATTTATTTTCACGGTCTCAACTACGTTCGGTGACCTCAAGGAGCATAATCAGTGCACTAACGTACAAATCAACACTGACTGAAGAAGGGCAGCGTAGATTCTATTCTACCAGCGCTTTCAGTCGCAGTGCGGTTAGGTATTGCCACGCACCCATTTTGGGTATATATACACATATGAATGACCACCGGTATCACAAGTCTTACGTAAGAGCTGCTTTATCAGCTGTCGTACTCTCTTTTATCCACTCTAAAGCCACTACAATCATACCAATTGTTCATAGAGACTCCGCCGGTGGTTCGGGGAGACGTGGAGTCTTCCGAAATGTCCGATTTCTTGATATCGGCCGTCCGGAGAGAAACCAAGTTGACTTGCCGGTCAGTTCATACTCCCCTGATAGAGCAACGGGACGGCGTCTTTATAGACATATGTGAGGGGTGAACCCCACGGTCTGGAACGCTTGACCGAGTTGTCTTTTGGGCAGAGACGAGCTTCGCGTGAGAAACGCCTGGTCCAACTGTCCACCGGAGCCGGTGGGTCTTTCTTCCTTCTCGCGGCTACCTTGGATCGCGTGAGCCCGGCGCTGAATGGGAAGAAGAGCACGGGACGAGGAGAGTCTGTGGGGGGACATTCGAAAACGAGAGGCCGGCCGCCAACCACGGCACGCAAGCAGGCGCGTAACAAAGTGGACGAGCACAAGGGAGACGTTCGCTAAGGAAGTTGACATTAAAGCTGCGCCTCTGCCGATTCATATCTGTCACGCAGCACGACTGGTTGTGGTCAGTTCAAGCCCCTCCCGCATTTCTTGGAACAAGTAAAACGTACAAGTCAAGAAGAAGCGACAGAGAAACGCGAAATATGTGCACCTCAAAACACGCAGCACCCATTTTACCATCTTCAAGCGGCCCGCCCGCCTCTTCATGTTCCATTATGTACAGAGACGGGAGCCTGCACTGGCGACTCGGTGCACGAAAAGAGAATTACGTCAACTGTGGACGAAAGTTTACGTCTGGAGACGCCTTCCTTAAGCGGTCGCTTTGCCTTTCGGGAGTGAGGCTTTCGGTGACCTTGTTTATCTCTTCGCTTTCTATCACGGGCACGCACATTTTGATGTGTGTGAATGGATAGTACGGCCCCGTACACGAAATGTAAGCTAAAGGCTTGCGATGTTTTTTTTTTGTTTTTTACTGACAAGCAAAGCAAGTCCCAGCGTTGTGGACGCATGCAATAGGCGGAGACTCAATGTTGATACTTTTTTACAGCTGCTACAGTTGTTGTCGACTTCAAGGGCAATGCACGCATTCACTGTGTGTTGACCAGAATGATTTAATGTAGCAAACGAACATTGAGTAACAAAATACGATTTGGACATTAGGACTGCATCACAAGTCAGTGAAAAGGCTATATATGTCCAACAACAAAAATGGGATGGAAAAACTTCGCCGTCCGCAAAGGAACGTGCATGAGCCCTTCTCTTTAGTTGGTGTGGAGGCGCGTTTTCCTGAATACTAAGGACGTGGCAAGCTTCTTCCGTCAATCCAACCTCGCTTCAGAAAAGTATAAAGCTCATCAAAGTGAACTGTGGATACAATCTGTAACGCCTAAATGCGTAAATTTGGGCATACGCATATTATCAAAGCGATGAAGTACATACACGAGCAATGTAACATAATATAACATTATAGTATATTATAATTTAACAACTTATAATATAACATATAACTGTAACTGAGCAGTGTAATTTACTGATCAGTGGCACGAAACTCATTTTATCCGGCACGAGTGGCCCCAGTGATTTTCATATTTGCGGCTTGCATTCTCTATTCATCTCGCGCTTCATATCCGTTTTTTACGCATCCTAGAATATTCTGTAAAGCTGTTGTCTTCCGTTTGATAATGCAAATGGAAATATATGCGTGTCCAATTTCTCGGTGTACAAAGAAAGGCAAAACTGAGGCATCCGAGATAGGTCCGGTAATCGCAGAGACCAACGGCACGAAAAAGCTGATTGTTGTCATAACCAACATTTCACGATTTACCTGTATGCCCCGCCGCGGTGGTCTATGTACTCGGCTGCCCACTCACGCAGGTCGCGGGACAGAGTCCCGGCTGCGGCGGCTGCATTTTCGATGGCGGCGAAAATCCTGTGTCCCCTGTTCTCAGATTTGGGCACACGTTAAAGAACCCCACGTGTTCGAAATTTCCAGAGCTATAAGATTGTGGTTAGAAGAGGGAAAAGAAGAGAAAAGTGAGACCCGTAACTGTCTGCATCAGCGTGCGACACCTCAACAGTAGCTCACAAGGAAACGAATGGTGGGCATGGTGTAAACCACCGCCCACCATTTAAGTGAATTAATGTACTGCGTGAATGCTGGAAAACGTCCACCATGGCGCAAACCACCGCCCACCATTTAAGTGGATTAATGTACTGCGTGAATGCTGGAAAACGTCCAACATGGCGCATGGTGTGTGCTGCAGTGCCGGCAACGCTTGAGCGCGAACTGGTGTCCGATTCACCGTGACGAGCTGCCACGAAAATTTTTTAAAATGTATAAATAACAATGTAAAAAAGCACCCGTCCGGTAAAAAACAAGCTACCACGGAGGATCGGACGTTCAACCTGCGGATTCTATTTGAAGACACTAACCACTGCGCCATACCAACATGACGAATGTAGCGTGTTGAATAGCTAGTTGAAATACAAACTTACGGTTCAATTTGAGCTTTGTTTGTCGTGTACTCGACATAGACGAGATCTGCACCAGCTACAAAAATTTGCACATTTATTAAACACAAGCATCTGCTGCCTGTTATGATTGCCACTGCGATAATGACATCAGCGCTATGTTTTTTTTTTTTTTTACAATTTACAACCGCAAAAAAAAAAAAAAACAATTGGACTGGGGAGCAGCTACAGTTTACCGATGAGGTCTGCCAAGTTTAATATCCATTTCGCGCTCGTTCCAAAAGGCGACATCTGCTCACGCTTTATGACGCCGCTAGGCTCATTTCATAGATACGCCCACCTTATTTAATTGATTGAGTATTGGGATGCTTTTCGCGCAACGTAGAGGGCAGTCGTGCCAGCACACTGCTGTAGCTAGCTCTTTCCCTATAGCAACGACTACATAACGGCTTGGCCAAAACGAATGCAGTGTGCCGGAAACATTACACTATCATATTGGTTCCCCAAGCATACGAATTGCGAAGTCTGTGTTCTCGCATAAAGGCTAGAGAAGTGCCGGTGAGTGCGATCGGCGGCTTACGGTGAGGGGAGACGTACGTTCTCTGGAAGTGCTGGAATCGCGTCGCATCGATGTTTGTTGCTTCTTGCGCGGACACCGTAGACAATGAAAAATGCTTCATTTAGGTTAATTGATGCCATGGCTGTGCTGTATTGTTATTCTTAACCGTCGAAATCGTGTATTCTGAAACCCAGAACACGGATAATACAATTGCACGGGCTCGGTCGGTAGGCCTAACCTTTGGTGGAAATCATGGTGGTAGAACATGTAGTGTACAAATCCCAGCTTGGTACATTATATAAATTACCCGCCATTACAAGCCCACCCATCATCTGCTCACTGCTTCCAGTATTATCGCAATGGTGGGCAGAGCTTCTCAGCTTGGTACACCATGTGGCCCGCCATAACAAGCAGCACCCATCATCTGCTTAGTGCTTCCCAGATAATCGCAATGGTGGGAAGAGATTCTCAGCTTGGTGCACCATGTGGCCCACCATATTAAGCACCACCCACCATCTGCTTAGTGCTCCCCAGCATCATCGCAATGGCGGGCAGAGCGTCCCATGATTGCCCACTTTGTAGCCTCTACATTCCACCGTTTCCACTTTACCCATTTTTTGTACACCATACCGCCCAGTATGTCCCGGCATATTCACCATAATTTGCACTACGTCCCGCCATATCCATCATAATTTCCACCATACCCACTATTATTTCCAGTACACTCACCGTGTTTTCCAGTATCAACCATGGCAGTTTTTCCAATAGGGATGGGGGTGAGAAGGGATTAAAAGGATAGGATTAAATGATAGGATTAAAAAACAATCTACAGGCTGGTGATGCAGGTTATAAAGGAAAGACTGCAGGCATGGATAGAGGATGAGGGGGTGCTGGGGGAACTGCAGAATGGGTTTCGGAAACACAGGAGGTTGGAAGACAATCTGTTCTCACTGACGCAGTGCATCGAAATAGCAGAAAAGGAACACAGGCCCCTGTGGCTAGCATTCTTGGATATCAAGGGAGCGTACGATAGCGTGGTTCAAGAAGAGTTGTGGGGAATACTGGACACACTAGGTGTGGAAGATGTAGTCACTAATCTTTGAAAGAATATCTATAAAAATAACAAGGTAGTTATAAAGTGGGAAAGACATGTATCCAAGCCGACAGAGGTAAAACGAGGGCTTAGGCAGGGGTGTGCTCTGTCACCCTTGCTATTTATGATGTACCTACAAGGATTAGAGGCCAAATTAGAGGGAAGTGAACTTGGCTTCAACCTCTTTTTCATCAAACAAGGAAAACTCATTGAACAGGCACTATCAGCATTGATGTATGCATATGATATAGTGCTAATGGCCGACAACAAGGAAGATTTGCAAAGATTGATGGACATCTGCGGTAATGAGGGAGATAGGTTAGATTTCAGATTCAGTAAGGAAAAATCAGCAGTCATGATTTTTAATGACAATGAAGGTAGTGCAGCTTAGAATACAGGAGGTCACGCTAGAGATAACAGATAAATACAAATATCTGGGCGTATGGATCAGCAATGGGGCCGAGTACCTAAGGGAACACGAAATATACGTGTCGACTAAAGGTAACAGGAATGCAGTGGTAATGAAAAACACGGCACTGTGGAATTACAATAGGTATGATGTAGTGAGAGGAATATGGAAAGGGGTCATGGTTTCTGGTCTGACGTTCGGCAATGCGGTCTTGTGCATGAGATCAGAAGTTCAAGCAAGATTAGAAATTAAGCAACGTGGAATAGGTAGGCCTGCCTTAGGAGCTCACGGGAATACACCAAATCGGGGAGTACAAGGTGATATGGTATGGACATCATTTGAGGGCAGGGAAGCTAGCAGCAAGATAAAATTTGAGAACCGATTGAGAGAAATGGGGGAGGAGCGTTGGGCTAGGAAAATATTCAGCTACTTGTACATGAAGAATGTCGATACGAAATGGCGGAAGCGAACTAGAAAATTGACTGGTAAATACTTAGAAAACAGCAGGTGGCCAAACCAAAAAGAACTATCCGTTAAGAAGAAAGTGAAAGAAACGGAGGCTGACATGTGGAAAATGGGCATGATTAAGAAGTCCGCACTAGAGATCTATCGAACTTTTAAGCAGGAAATTGCCAAGGAAAGGATCGATGATAATACTCGGGGTAGTTCTCTACTGTTTGAAACAAGGACGGGAGTACTGCGAACCAAGACATATCGGGCCAAATACGATGGGGTAGACACGGTATGCAGTGCGTGTGGAGAGGAAGAAGAAACTGCCGAACACTTGATAATCTTCTGTAAAGGGCTTCACCCTATAGTTCAGGATGATGGTGCAGAGTTTTTCAAAGCACTGGGGTTTAGTGACAGTGAGGGCAAAATAGACTTTAAGCGGGTAGAATTAACTAGAAGGAGGTTATCTGATTGGTGGCTAAAGTCAAGGCACGAGTGAAAATTAAACCCTTCACTGCAAAGTATGAATCGTCAACCTCACTATTTAAGGGAAAATAAAATAAATATAGTTTTTGTTTCATTAAGTATTACGGCTTGGTGGCGCTAGCCACCGCCCGATCTAAAGGGTGCAGCCATATGCATCCATTCATCCGGCGGTGACGTAGGACGAACCCAGTCGGCCAGAGCTACGCTGTCGTCGGAGATCGCGAGGGCACAACCGGTTGGCACGGAATCCAGCGAGCGAGTCCCTCTCCGGAGCCCTCTACTACGGCGTCTCTCATGAACATATGGTGGTTTTGGGACGTTAAACACCCCAAATCAACCAACGATGTACCTATAACGTAATCACGCAGAACTTAGAACCTTCAAAACCAACTTAAGAACCTTCGAAACCAATGCTATGCGACGGCGACCATCTCAGATTATCGGTGGTCGCGGCGTGTGCGATGTTTATCGCGCGCGTCACCATTCAGCTGTTGCTCGGCGCGCGCCGCGGTCAGAGGCTGGGTTGAGCTTCATAATTGTAGTTCTCCGTCGAGGCTACCAAAAAAAAAAAAATAGTAGGAGACATACATTATCAAACTTTCTCATGTGACCGGCTGTGGAGAATGCGAGTATGTCACTTAGCCACCACATGCGCGTATCCAGCGCTCTCGCCATTCTGCTTCGCAATGGCTACGGGAATCGGTATAACTAAAGTCCTTTACGTCCATGGCAATTTACAAAGCAACAGTAGCGTTGACGGAGGTCGCGGAGCTGTTGCACATGCTCTTATTTTCGCTGTCGTTCTAACGGGTGAACGCACGCCATGGCGGTTCGGTGTTGCGTCCAACTAGCTGAACGAAAATTTGCAGCTCTTTTTCTGATGTTCAATGCTCGAACAAACCTAATATTTAGCTTAATCCTTGTTTCACCCGCGCTAGTGGCACCTCGTTGCGCAGAAAACTGGGCAGGGGAGCCGGCTTTACACTACCAGAAACTGCGCCGACAGGTGGCGCTACATGTCCGCAAAACTTTAGTAGGTAGAGTTACTGTATAGGCTACCTTTAGGTAGCTCTAGCAATACTCCAGAGAGCACGTTTCAAGCTAACTAAACACTGGAGTATGCCACCGTGGTCGTAATTTTACGCTTAACAGTGATTTTATGCTAAACGAGTGCAAGGCTCATATATTCATTAGGAAAACGAAAGAGTATTGATGTAGCAAACATTTCTTTGATTTCATGACATTTTCGATTATCCGTTTAATTTGGACATTATTTCTTTTTCCGGCTCCATAAAATCCGAATGAACGAGCATTTACTGTATGTTCGATCTACTTCCTTTTCTCTGAAAATGCTAACTGTTGGGTAACCATGTCACATATAGGCGTGCGCACGAGGGGGTCACGGAGGGCGGCCGCCCCTGCTGACCCCCTTGTACACACGAAAGTGTGTGGGGCAGACTTTGTGCTCCGCTCCCTTCTTAGGTGACCAGCAGGGGTGGTGGCTGGCCCCCTCCCATGGACACGCCTAAGGAAAAGAGGGTTCACAAAACATCCATGGCTGAGAACCAATGCTTTAATGGCTTCAGTGTTTCTGAGGTCAAGACACCAGCATTGTCAACTTGGGAATATAATGTTTATTATCAAATCTACATCCACAAACATATTGTGCCTATTCTCGTTCTTCGTGATAGCGAACTTGCCACAATGGTTGGAAGATGTCGCTACCGGTCTGGCGTGCCCGCAGGCGTGCCTCATCGGCACTTGGCTGTGCATCCAAGTGCCTGCATCATTGATGAAAAAGAAAAAGAAAGAAAGCTTGGTGGTCTGCAACACAATTATAAATATTCAATGCTGATGATGTGCACCATATTTAGTGCAATCTAGAATTAGCTTTTGGTGAAGACTACATAGCATTCGATTTTTTTTTTCTTCAGATGTAAAATCTGCAGACCTTAGAGCACATTCTGTGGAGTGGTCTGTAACTGCTCCCAGAGATATATCGCTATATGCTGAAGGCGCCATTGTAGGCAAAGCCGCTTAACGTTACAATTGACAGATTTTTGGTCCACATCACAGATCTATGCTAGATAATGTGATGGTATGAAGAGGATGACAAAGAGCACAAGATAAAAGACGTCGTCAGACTCTGCCCACGTGGTGCCGTCTTTTCAGCCACTGAATTTATTTTGTGTATACCAAGCATTTTAAAAGATGTGCCCAGAATCCTCACAAATCATAAAAGTGCAATACATGTTCGATACATTCACGATTACTTTTCTAGCTGTAGGCATCTTAGATGACTAAGGACATAATTTAGAACAGTAACTAAGAAAGTTAAATCAACATATGAATTAGTGGAGTTGAACGGTTACGTCATAGGAGAACTCAAGTCATTCTTGTGAAGAAACCATCACAACTTTGCGATAAAAAAGAAGCAGCCCCTAGTAATTATTATGGCATGATGAAATCAACCAAATTCAAGAGCGAAACTGAAAACAATGTTTTCATGAGTGCAGCAAGCAAATGACCAAAATGACATTACTGTTAAAGGCAAACAATCACACAGGTGTAATTCTTCCGTGTTCTCTGATTTATGTGCGTCATGCATGTTATAGTTGCAAGCGCAGCCCGCACATTCCCACAACATGATCGAGTGATGATTGATATAAAGATGCTGACTCATTTTGGACGTCTCAAAAGAACATGGCATTTGATAACTGCATATGGATAACTGTGCCTGTGTGTATGTCTGGTTTGTACATGTGTGGCGAAGTAGCACCATTATCCCCGCTGTGTCAAGAATATGGCAGTTGCGCTCTTCTGCATTAGAGTTTTGCTGCTTAATCTGGGTCAATTTCATTACTTTGCGATTATTACTAGAGGCTGCTCTTTTCAAAACATAAAAGCCACAATGAGTTTCTCACATATGCCATTTGACACAATTGCCAAGCTGTGTTAATTAAAAAGTTACATTATTGTCTTTTCAAATTATCCTCCCAAATTATAGCTTAGCAACCTTTGGATGCCTATAGCTACAGGAGAAGTAATTGTGCAGACATTGAACAAATATTGAATTTCACTGATTTTCAGAATTTTAGATGCACGTCCTGAAACCCCCGGTATATAGCGTGAATCAAGCCTACAACCAGGGTGGGAGGGAGGAAGGGGGGGGGGGCTAGTGCCCACCTTTTGCTATATATTGTGTGAGCCACTGTCACTTCACCTGAGAGTTCATCTTCACCTACTGGGAGCCACTGTCACTAGTAGGGACATTGGAAAAAGCAGCAGCAATGATGCAGCATTGCCTCTTAGCCGCACACAGCTCTAAAGCTAGTAATTTTTTGTTACACAAAGCAAGCCAATCAATTCTAGAGAGTGCACATAAATTAAATTAATCCAAATATGTGACCTCTTTATAACTATTAACTCCACCACAGTACCAGTATGTGGCACCTCATTACAGAGACGATAGCAGGATCATAAAAAATGTTATACATATCCATACAGTCAATGACATCTCAATCAGATATTTCATTTTTTACTTGATAGGTTGCCTCCACAATACCGCTGTGCACACAATTGAGGCAAAGGATAAATTCAACGAAAGACTTTAAGCTAGAACCATTCACCATCCAACAATTTTTACAGTAATCGCTTCACTAAGTCCGCCAGATGAGGCCGAAATGCGTCAAGCACAAGCATCGATGTGAGCCCTAGCAGTGCTCCCGGCTGTTGACACCACACGGACTTGATCCAGTCAAGTACAAGTGATTCATCCATCCACCCTTTGTCCCGGCAGCAGACGACAACATTCCTTGGAAACTTCTCTCCTTCTGGCAGCGTCTTTAGTTTGAACACGATGTAAGGTGGCAGCTTGCGCCCATCTGCCATGCAGGCCAGCATTACAGCACCCGTGTTTCCTCATTCCCAGTTGATCGCAGGGTAACTTGCCTGGAGCCTTTTTGCGAACTGTCAAAGCCGAGGGCACATCGAGGCACAAAGGCGTCTTCAATCTGGCCCAGTTGAAATGAGACTGCCTTTCGCAAGGAAATCACGTGCTTCCGAGAGCTCACAAGCAGCTCTTCATAGCTCTTTAGAAGCTTCTGTGATATCGACATACGTTGACGTAGGAAAAAACTAGCGAGGCGCATGAAGCGGGACACCCAATGCTTGCTCGCTTTGGCCGCCTGCTCAATGCTTTCATCTGGCGCGATCTCCCTTGCCTTCGCTTGCAGCAGCTCGATGTTGACAGCGAGCTGCTGCTCGTTACTCCCCCGCAAAGTTTGCCAGTTCTTGGTCAACGTCAGAAAAAGCTCCATGTTTTCACCTCCGAAAACTTCTTTGTTGGCCGCTGTATACAGAGGGCTTCTTTTTGCTTTCTTCAGTCATGAATGCATCACTTGTCGATACCGAACTGTCGCCCCACAGCCCAGTTACCGATGGTTTCAGCAGCTCAGATAGCCTTTGTTTTAAAGGCAGCTGAATACTGCCTTCGCGTAGATGGCATGGCGTAAAGTCACAGACGTTAAATTGTGGTCATTGTTACACCCGTCAAGTGGTTTAAATGGCCACTGTTGCACGCCCGTAGGACTAACGTCACTAACACTACAACGCTACCTACCGCTGAAACGTGCAGACACCTGATGATGATGATAGAACTGCGTATTGCCCAAACCAAAACTACGAATTCGGGCGGAAAATGTTTTGGATCCGCTAAAGTCCAGGACAGAAACATTGCATTGCAAAATCTATAAAAAAGATCGGGGGACCTTTATGCTCAACCTTTAAGCGTTGAATGCGATAGCGAGATCCGGCCCCTAGTGCGTCCTTCAACAGCTAAGTATATACTGATTAATATGTTTTGTTACACAAACAAACACACGCACACACAAATGGGCATGTGCGCCAGCACGACGTATCTATAGTAATGCAGTGACTGTGCAGTGTGGCCACTTTTCTCTGCTAGAACTGCGCTTTGCTGTAGTCAAGACACATTTTTCACAATGTCTCACAGATGGCACACAGACACACACACGCGCGCACAAATGGTACTATCAGGATCAAATGAAATCCGAACAGCGGCAAGTCTTAGAGATAGTGTAGTGCTTGCTGTCCAGTTAACACCATTGACAGGCGCGTGCATCCTGTTCGGCAGCTTTGCACATATATGCATGACCGTTCATAGTGATAAGTTGACAGCACGCACTATACTATTGCAAAGGCATGCCGCTGTTCAGGTTTCATTTGACGCTGATAGTAAATACAGGTTTTTGATCTAAAGCAAGAGTTGCATGGCCTCCAAGATACACGCCGCGCGCTCGCCATCTTTCAGGCCATAAAGTTTTACAATGCCTCACAGATGGCAGCACATTATCTAGCGCTTGATGTTTGCTCGATCATCGCCTTTGGAAAGGCATGATATGTTTTTCTCTAGATGAACATAGTTGTCCATTTTTTAGAGCTGATTGACAGTTCCTGTGTGTTTTTAGCGGTGATAGCTGCACTATCCCGGCCTTTTTTGATGTAGTTTGATGGCCTCCCAAATGTGCCTACAAATCGCCAAATGGGCTCGTTTTCGTCATGACGCCTGCAAACAAAATGCGTCAACGAGACTCCTTCTACTACATGGCATTTATGTCGTGTTTTTTCCCGAAGCAGCTGCAAGTAACGTCGTAGCTTCGTGCTGGGACACCTGCTTGCCACGCGAATGGCCCGGGTTTGATCCTCAATGGGACAGAGAATTTTATTCTTTATTGTATTTGCTTCTTTCTCAATTACTCACTCGCAGACCATTTTTCGCTAACAACCAACGATGCCAACACTGACGGCGGAATTTCTGCGACACAAGCTCTCTAAAGCTATCGCGTTAAAACCCCAGGCTACATGCCGGTTTTACAGTAATTGCCATCCTGAAAAACAAACACTGAATAGACTGAGAGAGAGAGAGAAAACATTTATTGAAAGAAGCTTGTGAGTGAAGGTTGAGGGTCCCTTATTCCAGGAACCCTCTAGCTTGGACAGCCGCCGAGCTCGAGCGCACATTTTCTGCACACGCCTGAGGGTAGAGTCCCTGGTTCGGCGGCGGTCTTTTTCAGCCATGCGTTTGCTACTCAGTAGGCGGGGTTCAAGCACAGCTCTTTGAGGATCTTGGATGATGTTACTTGACTTCCGGCATTAAACCTCATCACTGCCTCGGCGACCGCAGCTTCTACACTGTGCAGTGATGCATGGCGCTCCTTCGGGGCCAGCGACCAAATCACAGAGTGGAGACTTTCATTACTGTTCTGAGTCTTGCCTCGCTGGCAGCGCTCCAGCAGCTTCTTGTCCGCCAAGCGTTCGTACACTGGAAGCAAGGCCTCACAGACATGCGGCGGCAGGTTGTAGCGGTGTTTGGGGGCCGGCTCACCCCTGGCCTTGGCAGCGTTCTGGCGGCACCACGAGTCAGGACCTGTAGGGCACAGGCTGTGGTTGGACACGGCATCGTTGGACGTCACATGGTGGTATGTGGCCATCACAGCATTGTGCATGGCTGGCATGTCCCCTTTGTGAGATTTGATGGCCCAGCCATAGTAAGAGGTCAATTTGTTAACCAGGTCACCAGTCAGCCGCCCCCTACCACTGAGGCTCTCAGAGCCAGCTGGCCTCTGCTTGGGGAGATTGCGCAGTTGTGTGCCCATCCTCTTCTGGACGTGGTTCACACATTCCTCTTTGGTTACCTTTATAAAACCATACACATCTGCTTCCTTCAAAGCAGGGTAGGTGCGGCAGTCGCCATCAGAAA